TGAAGGATTTAAAGTCTTTAAAAATGTTGTTCATTTTTCTTTGAAAAATAGCAGGTGCATTTTTAAGACCGAAAGGCATCACATGCCATTCATATAATCCTTCTAAGCAGGAAAAAGTTGTTTATTTTATTGAGTCAGGATCCATTTTAACTTGGTGTTATTACTTTCAATTTCAAGAGATTGTCGATATGCAATCGACATTCTTCTTGTTCCAGTTGTTAAACTGTATATCTTTTGTTTTTATAATCAGATCAGGATTTATTATATTCAGTTTGCAAATAACAGGGTCTCAATCCCAAAACTTTGTGGGGTCTTCTCCTATTATGTTTGTTTTGTTTAACCTATCCAATATCTGTTGGATATTGTCAAACGTGATTGTTTTTTATATCTTTATGGAAGAAAAATATTTCATAATATCATTTGTGTAATCAATATTTTCTAAAAATTATTCCATACAATCACATATGTTAGAAGATTTAGGATTATTACAAGAACATCCATCCACAGGTTGTTCTAAGTGTTTTTTATTGTCACTACTAATTATTGGAGACATATGTGTTCTATCATTAATAATAACATAATCTTTGTTTATAGTGATAGTTCGATTTTGGCCAAGAATAAAATATAAACCAATAATCATACTTTGTTTGGAGGGGACTAAATTTTCCACTCGCATAGTTTTAATGTGTATTTTTTGACCAAACAGGTCACAATTTGTACTAAATTGAAGAGAGATATTGTTTATCTCTTTATCATTTATCAGTATTTGTCCAGACATCGTTCTGGTTTTTTGTACATGTTTACTTTTGGTAATCATGTATGGGGGTACTTTTGTTCTGTACACAACCGTTTTAGAACATCCTGTATCTAAGAGAGCTTGAATTATAGCCTCTTTTGCAGGATTTTTGTCTTTTTGTGGAAAGTTTAATTTTACTAATACCTTTACGGTTATTAGTTGTTTTATATTACAAACTAATAGGATACATTCCATAGTTCTCATCATGTTGTTCTGTGTAAAGGCAGATACTAAACCTTTTTTAGTATCTTTTCCCTTAACAAGTTTTTCTAAGTGAAGAATCTTTTCTTCAAGTATGTTTAATCAGGTTTCTAAGACTGAAGTTCTAGTATCGATTAAATTTTTGTCTTTTTTTTATACCTTCTTTTGTTTTTAAGAAAGTAGGTATATCTTGTATTTCTGATTTTGTTTTTAAACAATTCAAACAAAAAATTTTGTAACAAAGGGGACAATGTGTCCTTTGAGAGATCTGAAAGTATCTTTCACAGTATTGACAAGGAATCGATCCTGGTCCTGAAAAAAATTGCACGTTATGAGAACATGAATTCTTTTCATTTAAATTCATTAAACCATTACTCAAATAGTCTAATGTTTCTCCTATGTTTAGAAGAAGTTTAGGATTTTGTAGACTTGGCTCTGAAGAAAGCCTATTGTCTAGTGTGGGATTTTGGTTGTTGCTAAGAACAACATTTTGTGATGATTCTATTGATTTTGTATCAACAGAAATATCTTGTATATCATGTTCCATCTGATAGTTGTGGTTGGAAATCATTTATTCCAACACTTGTATTTTCTAGCCCTACTGTTGGTAAGGGTTCAGAAACCATGGATACATTATCTAATGTATCACTATTTGTGTTGACTAACCCAGACAAGGGTTCTAAATCAAAAGATACATTATCCAATGTATCTTTTGATTTATCATTTGTGTCTGCTAATCCTAATATGGATAAGGGTTCTGAGACTTTAGATAAATTATCCAATGTATCATCTTCTTTATTTAGATAAAAATCATCTAAAAATTCATTTATAATATCGTCAAAAGATACACTATCCACTTTATCTTCTTCACATCCTATGGGATTTATCATAGGAATATATTCATTGTTAGGGATAATAGAAATACTATGCCTATTATCAACTGACCTATCTTGTTCTAGGTCTAGGTTTGATAGGGTTTTAGAGAACCAATCATGTAATTCTTTGTGTTCTACTAACAAGTCATCTAGGACATGTAGGTAGACTTTATCTGCAGTTGGGTTAGCTAAATAACCCCAAAGATTTTTTCTAAATGACTTAAAGTATCCCATATACTCTATTTTGTCAATTAGTTTCATCAAACTTTTTAGTTTTCTAGAAACCTCTTCTAGAAGAACATGTATGGTATCTATATCTGAAATAGACTTTTTGTATCCCACTGGAGGATTTCATAATTTGTTCAACAGCTATCAGAGCTGTTTTATAATCTTTATTTAAAACATTTTGTTCAACAACTATCAGAGTTGTTTTGTATAGACATGTTAAGGGGAATTGAACAACCATATATATATATATATATATATATATATATATATATATATATATATATATATATATATGCGAAAAAGAGTACAAGAGAAGATTGAGATGATAGGTTTAGATTAGGAGAACCGACTCCTAGATTGGTTTTTACATGATTTTTTTTTCTTTTCATCTCACAGTAGATATCAGGGCCACTTTTCTTACAAAGTTTTTATTTATTACAAGGTATTTATTGAAAGAGGAAAACAAGAGCATCCAAAGACCCTTAATAATTGATAGTTAGGTTGTTTCTGAAACAATTTTGCTTAGGAATTTCAAAATTCAAAGATGAGGTTGGCTGTCTATTAATTATAAAAACTAGTCAAAAAAGTATTATCCAAAAACTTGTAAGGAGACTTAGATGGAGAAACAAGAGTGAGACTACGTTTAACCACATATATGTGTCTTCCTTCACAACAGCATTTTGGTGGTGTATGAGGACATATTAATTTTTTATTAGTAATGAAGGAAACTCACCAACCCAGTCAATTTGAAGTGATTTTAAAGATGCATTAAGTTATTTTTTAGCCATTGAATGAAATTGTTTAAAAACATTTAAAGCTCATATTTGGCTTTTATAAGATAAATCGAAGGATATCTTGAATAAGCATCAACAAAAGATAAATAATATGGAGCCCAAAATTGGAATTTATTGGAGCCAGACCTCAAAGATCACTAAAAACGAGTTCAAAAAGTGTTGTGTAAAAAGTAGAAGATGAAAAAGAAGGAAGACTGTGTGTTTTCCCTAAACAAAAAAATTCACAAAAATCAACTTCAATTTTTTTTATTTAGTGTATATACATTCTTAGAGAACAAGCTTTTGCACATTTGAACTAGATGACGTAGACGTAAATGCCATAAATGAAAAACATGATCAGAATTTGAACTCTATTTTGTACACAATCAAATTTTGATACTACATCACTACCAATTGAAACAATAGAAAACAAGGGAGGAGATCGAGATTGCTATAGTAGAGTGGGCAATTAATACATACCATCCATGCCTACTAAACTTCAAGAAACACTTCATAAGTCTGCTATGATTTTTCAAGACAAAAAGTTCAGTGAAATTCAATACGTTCAAATTGACTAATTAACACTCATGTAGTTCCTAACAAATTACGAGGACACTTTAGGATTGAGAGGAGACGAGAAAAAAAGTAGAACCTAAAGTACTGATATTAAGACCCTAGCCATTATCACCAACACTTGCTTATGGACTTCGAAAGAAATAAGTTGTTGAGTGTTTTTAGCACTTGGTTTCACATGATGAGTTGCACTCGAATTTGGGTACCAAGTAGTATAGAAGAAGTCTGAACTCTAGATAGCAACGTTTGGGCCTATGTAAAATACTTGAAGCATCCTAATTTGATGCAGTAGTGAGAACACCATAGTTCGAAGTAGATGAAGAAGAATGAAACTGTGGATAAAATGAATTAGAATTGGCTTAAGATAATCCTGTAGAAGATGTATAATAATATGTAGAAGAGAAGTATCATCTGAGACTGACTGTTTTATTGCTATGGTGGCATAAATGTGGATCAAAACAATTATAGCAATTTGCAGCATGATAACCAAACTTAGTGCACTACTGACACTAAAATGAGCTATGATTTCCATGACTATAGCCACAACCACCATCACGACATCCACTTTCCCAACCAAGCCCACCCACAGTAAGAAAACATTTAGGAATGCTCAAACACTAATTGAGTTGACAAAGAAAAAAAAAAATACAGTAGTTAGCCCAATAAAAAATGCTTTTCAGTTTTTGTACTCTAATAGTTTTTAATTGGAGTTTTGGACAAGATTGTTATTTGTTCTAACTTCATATTTTCTAAGCATACTCATTTTTTTGTGCATAACTTTTTTTTTATTATTATTATTGTGTCTTTTATTGTGCATGTGTTGAGTCTTTTCATATTATTGCTTATATCGATGTCATACATGTCATATTTTCCAAATAATTGTTGCTTTAATGTAGTTCTTTAATGAGAAATATGCTAAAGATAGAGATGCAATGCAGCATCTATTTTAAAAGAAAAACTGTCAGCCTTGGGTTCATCTGGAGTATTAGCAGACCATCAGCTTCAAGCAAAATTACAGGAACATCATTTGAAAGGGTGAGTTTGAATCTACAATTTAGTAGAAGAAAATATAACTAGTATTTAATGGAAAAACTAGTGATTAGAAACCACTGTATATTATGTGGTTCTAAGAAAATGTCTCTATTATTCGTGCTTTTGAAATTTTAGTGTTGAATCTTGACTAGGTACAACTAGATTATATTTGAATTATGAAATTATAGTCAATATTTATATACTTTCATATTAAGTAATAGAGGGCAAATGAAAGAGGAAGAATCTTTGTAGTTTTAAAAAATGAATTAACCAGTGATCAACTATATGTACATGTACAACACCAAGATACTAGTTGTCTAACATATTGTTACCAAGAGTTAATTATAGAGTACACTCATCATGCAAGTGACACGTAAACAAATGGAAAAGTTTATAAACAATGGAAAACTCAAGGGCGCAAGGTTGGTGAGTGGAGATGCCGGCAATAGATTTACCGGTGTGGGCAACCAAAGTTGTAGCACTAGTGTTCTAGTGACTTTTAATTCACAAAAGAAAATCCCTCTAGGCAACAAGAGTAGCTCGAGATTGATCAGTGGGCAGAGTGGACTCAGTTATGGAAGCTTGAGCTGGATTGGTGGGGCAAGGAGGCTTTCCATGTAAAATTCTAAGACTGGTCATTGGAATGACCAGGAAGATGACAATACTTGCACTTAGAACAACTTAGGAGCTAGATGACCCCATGTGAGAGTATCCAGAAGAATTGCTCCAAGAAGCAAGGGCAGATGTATCATCTCCTTTGGTGGGAGTATGTAAGAACTGAATCAAATGGGAATTGTATTGAATAGAAAACAAGAGAATTTACAGATTTGTTAGGGATTCGAGAGCCTAACCTCTCCCAACCAGTTCTTAATATCTTTTGTTTTCTCCCTCCCCCTCTCCCATTCTCCTCTATTTAAAACATCCCAACAGCTCATCATAACTGAATTAGTTATTCAGTTATTGTGTCTAACTTATTCCTTTATTACGCCTAACATACCTCTTCTTTATTGGAGGTCTGATCCTAACAATACTCCCCCCCAAAAGTTTCACCTTGTCCTTAAGGGGAAATTGTGGAAACTGTGTCTGGATGATTTCAAATGGTTCCCAAGTGGCTTCGAAGTCTGGAAGATCCTTCCATCTGATCAAAACTTCACTATTTCCAGAAGAACTGTTGCGAGCTTCTAATACTTCCAAGGGTTTAACTTGTAATTCTCATTCTTCTGATAACATAGGAGGTAAAGGTTGTGGAGAAGTAGTTGGGCCAATGGCTTTCTTGAGAAGAGAGACATGAAAAACAGGATGTAACTTACTGTCATTAGGTAGTTGTAATTGGTAAGCTACCTGTCCCACCTTCTTAATCACTTCATATGGTCCATAAAACCTTGGTCGCAACTTATCATTCATCTTCTTGGCTAGGGATCGAAACCTATAAGGCTGTAACTTGAGATAAACCCAATCACCGATCTCAAACTGGACATACCTTCTATGTTTATCTGAAAATTTTCTCATCTGATCTTGTGCCTTCACTAGATTAGTCTTCATATCATGCAAAATTGTATCTCTCTCTTGTGTCATTTTGTTGACCTCTTCTATTGTTGTGGGAATGGTTGTCCCTTTCAATAGAAGTGGTGGGTTGCGTCCATATAAGTCCTTAAATGGAGTGAGACGAGTAGAAGCATTATAATTGGTGTTAAACCAAAATTCTGCCCAGCTTAACCACTTCGGCCATTGCTTAGGTTTACTCCCAGATAAACATCTTAAATAAGACTCCAAACATATATTCACAACTTATATTTGACCATCTGACTGTGGGTGATACGCTGAACTGAATTTCAGTTTTGTTCCCGCTAACCGAAAAAGTTCAGTCCAAAAATGACTCAGAAAAATTTTATCTCGATTAGATACAATGGTGTTAGGAAAACCGTGTAATCTGACTATCTCCTTGAGGAAGACTTCAGCTACATCCTTTGCAGTATATGGATGACATAAGGCTAAAAAATGAGCATATTTGGTGAATCTATCCACTATTACCATAATGTTGTCCTTACCTTGGGCCTTAGGAAGACCTTCAATGAAATCCATGGATATATCTAACCAAACCTGTGTTAGAATGGGCAACGGTTGTAGAAGGTCAGCTGGAGTCAGAGCTTGATGCTTATTTTGCTGACAAACTGTACATTCAGCTACATACTGTTGCACATCCTGGCGCATCCCCTCCCAAAATACCAAAGCAGCTATTCTCTTGTAGGTCTTGAAGAAACCTGCGTGACCTCCTACTGTTGAATTGTGAAATTCAGCAAGTAGTGACTGAATCCTTGGAGACCTTTTAGGTAGAACAAATTTCCCCTTATATAGCAATTTCCCATTCTACCACATGAATCCAGGATGAGAGTTTGAATTGTGTAGAAGGTCTTGAATTATCTTCTTCAACTTAGGGTCAGATTGAACTTCGTCCATCCAATCTTCTAAGTCCTGAAACTGGACTACAGAAATAGCGAAAAACATCATCTTCCTTGATAAAGCATATGCTGCTCCATTCTCACAACCAGGTTTATATTTGATTTCGAAATCGAACCATATCAGTTTGGAGGTCCATTTTAGCTGCTCATCATTTAACAAACCCTGATCAGTTAAAAATTTTAAGCTCCTCTGATCAGTATGAACCACAAAATGACGTCCTATCAAGTAATGTCTTCATTTTGCACAGCCATAACTATGGCCATGAGCTCTCTCTCATAGACTGATTTTTTATGGGCCCAATCTGAAAGTTTTTGACTAAAAAATGCTACAGATTTGCCTTCTTGTAGCAATACTGCTCCTAATCCCTTGCTGGATGCATCCGTCTCCACCGTAAATATTTTTGAAAAATCAGGAACTATTAGGATTGGCAGCTTGGCCATCATGGCTTTTAGATCATCAAAAGCCTTCTGAGCCTCTTCATCCCAAATAAACCCATCCTTTTGTAGGAGCTGAGTTAGAGGCCTTGCAATGCTGCCATAATTTCTGATAAACCTTCTATAATATCCGGTGAGGCCCAGGAAGCCTCTAAGTGCCTTCACATCTTTGGGTATTGCCCAAGACATCATGACTTCCGGTTTCTTAGGATCAGTTGCTACTCCTTGAGCTAAAATTACATGGCCTAAATACTCAATATGAAATTGGCCAAAATTACATTTCTTCTTGTTCGCAAACAGTATATGCTCCTCCAATGTTTTTAGAATCACCCTAAGATGTTCTTCATAATCTTCCTCACTCTTGTTGTAAATCAGGATGTCATCAAAGAAAACTAGCACAAACTTCCTCAAGAAAGGCCTTAGAATGTCATTCATCAGATATTGAAATGTGGAAGGAGCATTAGTTAAGCCAAATGGCATAACTACAAATTCATAATGGCCATCATGTGTTCGAAAAGCAGTCTTGGGAATGTCTTCTTCATTCATCTTGATTTGATGATATCCGGATTTGAGATCCAATTTGGAGAAGATAATGGCCCCTCCCAACTCATCTAGCAATTCATCAATCACAGGTATTGGAAATTTATCCGGGATTGTAATCTTATTTAGTGCCCTATAATCAACACAAAACCTCCATCCTCCATCTTTCTTTTTAACCAGAATAATGGGACTAGAATAGGGAATCACACTTGGCCTTATAACTCCAGACAACAACATATGACTTACTAATTTTTCAATCTCATTCTTTTGGTAGTGAGGATACCTGTAACGGCGTAGATTAGGAATTTGGGCTCCTTCCTTCAGCATTATGGCATGATCATGTCTCCTTGAAAGGGGTAACCCTTGGGGTGCTTGAAACACTACCTCAGCCTCCTCCAAAATCTTATGAATTCCAGCTGGAATACTGGCGGTGTTATCTGGCTCCTGAATCATTATTTTTGCATTCCAGGAAAAAACCTTGGCCTTCATCCTATAATGCTCGAATTATTGACTGAAATGATGCTCCAGTTCTGTACAAGGTTGTTTCTCCTTTCAAGACCATGGTTCCTTGAATGGTAGGTAACTTTAATGTGAGATCCTTAAAGTTGGTTGTTATATCTCCCAGCTCAGCCAGCCATTCTATCCCCAATACCACATCAACCCCTCCCAATTCAAAGACAAAGAAGTCTTGTTGGATCTTGAGACTCTGAATTTGTAATACCAATTTTTGGCAAACACCACTACATCTTATTTTCCGCCCATCTCCAACTTCTACAGTATAGGCTGTTGTTTCCGTAACTAGAATTAATTTTTTTTTAACTAAGGCAGAAGAGATGAAATTATGCGAAGCTCCATAATCCACTAGAACAGTTACCTTCTCTCTCTCAATTTCTCCCCACATCTTAATGGACTTTTTGGAGGTCAGTCCTATTATGCTATACATGGACAGGCAATGTCCTTTGATCTATCTCTTCTTCTTGGTCTTTTCTTAATTGGCTCCCTCCTCCTTCTTCGTTCCTCTATTCCTCCTCTTCTTCATTCAAGATTAACACTTAAAGATGCTTGCTCTTGCATATATGTCCTGGTTCAAATTTTTTATCACATCTGAAACAGAGTCCTTTTCTTGATTTTTCTTGGTATTCTGCATCCGTTAACTTCTTGAAGCCTTTTCCTCTGAATGAGTCAGTAGATTTTAGGCTATTATTGGATTCAGCAATTGAGTTGCTACCTCCAGCTGAACTAGCTCCTTCGATTGGGTAATTTCCTCCAGTTGTATTATTCCCCCCATTCCATGTGACCGTTCTTGCCGATTGATAACTTCTTGGGCGATTTCCTCCTTTATCATTCCACCCCCCTTCATTATTTATCACCTTGTTCTTCTCATCAATTCTCTGGGCATAGTCCATCAACTCCGGTAAGGATTCCACCTTATACAATTTCAGTTCCGCCTTAATCACATCCTTCAACCCATTCAAGAAAATGCCCTTCAAGTAATCTGGGTCAGTTCCCTTGAGAGGCCCTGCGTATAGCTCAAATTTTTCTCGATAATCTTCCACCAATGAGCTTTGTTTGAGACCCAACAATTCGTATGGGTTTTGGGTCATAGAAGGTTGAAACCTTCTTATAACAGTTGTGTGAAACTCCTCCCATGTGTGGTTGATCGCGCAAAACTCCCACCATTGGAACCAAGTAAAAGTTTTTCCCTCCATAGCCACCATGATAGCCTATAAGCGTTCTTGCTCCATAACTCCCTTCAAATTGAAGTATCTCTCCACTCGATTGGAATTTCCAATCTCCTCCACCGGTCCTCCAACGAACTCTTTCTCATGTCGTTTCCTTCCCCCTGAGTTCCTCCGTCGTCACTTTTTTCGGTAGAATTTGTTTTCTGCTGCAGCGTCCGGTTAACGTTATGCATCATCTCCAAAAGGCTTTTAAAGCCTTTCTCCAAGTTGTCTAGTCTAGCTTCCATCCTTGTTTGTACCATGAACAATTTTCCCAAGAAACGAGTGTTGTGATACCAGTTGTAAGAACTGAATCAAATGAGAATTGTATTGAATAGAAAACAAGAGAATTTACAGATTTGTTAGGGTTTTGAGAGCCTAACCTCTCCCAACCAGTTCTTAATATCTTTTTTTTTCTCCCTCCCCCTCTCCCATTCTCCTCTATTTAAAACATCCCAACAGCTCATCATAACTAAATTAGTTATTTTGTTATTGTTCCTGACTCATTCCTTTATTGCGCCTAACATACCTCTTCTTTATTGGAGGTCTGATCCTAATAGAGTATTGACCTTAGAGGATGACTTTAGTGCAATATGGAGTCAGGCAAAGGAGGCACTTGTTAATGTTGGAGCCATGGTCTCGAGTGGGAGAGTATTCTACAGGAAGTCCATAGATAGCCAAAGTCATGAAGAAGGTACTTTGATTCTCCAATTCCTTCTTGGCCTCGATGGGTTTAGAAGTAGCTAGTGGCAAAAGATCATAGAATTCGTGGAGAGCTGGATGAACTAGCCCAATATAGGTAGCCACAGGGCCATCAAGGCATCATGGGGCTAAAAGAGTCATTAGGTCTTATATATACACCATATAGTTGAGCCTCACCCTAAATCAATTCATAAGTTTCCTATGGAAGAAAAGTAGGGTATGGTACCATGTTAAACGAGATAAAACAGGGGATGTATTGTGCATAAAACCGAATGTTAGAATACACCATAAATGCATGATTATATATAGTCGTATTGCATTCGTTACACATGATTAGAGGATATTTTGTTTCACTTGAGTGAGACATTTATGCATGTATATTAAATTTATTAAATAAAGTTTAGAATATTGTAATTTGATTCTTAACATTTATTTTTGACCCAAACACTCACAACTAATGGGAGAGCGATTTGAGAGTAAGGGAACAAGAGATCAAGTACTCTTGCTAAATAGAGAAAATGCTAAGCTTTCATCCGAGTTGGATTGACTATGGCCTGTTAGGTAGATTTAGGTTCCATGAGTGAGTAATAAAGTGAGATGAATACTGGGTTTTAGTATACCATATTTAGCTCGAATTTTGCATGAATGCACACTGATAGGATGAGAAGGATTGGAATAAGAATGGGAGTGAGACAAATTTGGAATAGGGTGAGTAGATGGTGAAGAGCTAGATACAAAAACTGTTGTAGAGGGAGTAGACAATGAGGTTGGGGACGAAGTGACCTGAGGGGACCTAGAGGGTGAAGTGTGAAAATAATGAGATGTATAGAAAGAGGGCAAGTTTAGGAGATGAAGAAAATTGGTTGGGAAAGATATTTGAATAGCAAAATCAACACTCGTTGCTGATTACATTGTTAGATATAGAGACTCTACCATCTGATTGTGTGTAGAGATTCACATGGGCTTTACGTATGATTTTGGAAATGCTTTTATACTATTATTATTATTATTATTATTAATATTAATATTATTATTATTATTATTATTAATATTAATATTATTATTATTATTATTATTATTATTATTATTATTATTATTATTAATATTATTATTATTATTATTATTATTATTATTATGAGACGTAGATAATGCTATGGGGTTAGTTTTTGTCTGCTACAATTCTTATGGTCATAGATAACCTATTACATGGTAATCATGTTATTGTCACTGTTTAAACTCATTTTGAGAAAACATTTCTCAGATTAATCATAACTTAAGCAATTTTTGAGTTGTAATTGTTCAAATTGCTTTGCTACTCATTACTTTTGACTCGTTCATCCTGTGGTTTGTTATCCAGTACATGCAATTATTCCCACTTCATAATTATATTATGCCTTGTCTACTCTCTTCCTTACAGGCACAATCATCTTACAATATTAGACATCGCAAGGAAGGCTTTTCTTTTCAGTGTATATTTCTTTCTTGTATTTGCTTTTTCTTGTCATGAAAGATTCAATGGCTTAGATGTGACTCTAACGTTTGACCACCAAATTTGTTGGATCAAATTTCCTTACATCCCTGCGTTTAATCTCCTTAGAATATTTTAAAATCTTTTCGCTCCCTGACCCACATTTTGTACTTCTCCGTTTTTCTTTATAGCATTTTATGGAAGGCAATACAAAAATTGCTCCAATATCTCGCTTGCCCCTCATCACTGTTCTAGATACCAAGCATCATTTGAAGGACATTCCAACTATACAGGCAAGAGTCCTTAACATTTGATTTTGAGATTGATTAATTTTCCTTAGACATTTTTATTCAATTATCTGGTACCATTTATGCATTACCAGCCATTTCACTTGGAGCTAAATTTCTTCAATAAAGAGAACCGAGTTCTTCACTATCCTGTCAGAGCTTTCTATGTGGATGGATCTAATCTTATGGCATATAATATATTATCTGGATCTGACAGTATCTACAAGAAGCTTTATAATTCGGTAATGTAGAGATTAGAAAGAGTAGTAAGTTAAACAAATATCCTGCTATCTCTTTGTTTTCTGTAGATTTTTACCAATTGCATATTGATGAAATTTTAAGAGAAAAAAAAATGATATATCCTATTATTTATTGACCCCAACTGCATCAGAGAGTTATATAGGTAGAGTTTGATAGGAGAGATCCAAATAACCTTGAGTACAAAATAAATATAAGGTTAAGATACGGAGAAAAATAGGGGATGATCGGAGATATATTTGAATAATTTCATCTTGAACTTAACTACCTATATCTTTTATAATCCTTGTTTGATTTCTAAAATAAAAACACTTAAGTGAACACCCCATTATGTTGGTGCATAGATGCCAAGCATGACCAACTTACTGATAAAGATCCTTTTGTTTAGAATGTTTGCCACTTGCTGTGAAGTAGAAAGACATGGCTTGCAAATTTGGTTGTGTCCAGCAAAACCATTTTTACTCTTGTAGATTGTTTCATGTTGTATGATCACTTTCACATTGAACATATTCTAGCTTCTTAAAATTGGGAAAATCTCACATACGCTCTAGGTGATTGTTTCAATTTGTAGAGATTTTTAAAGACTACAAACATTTTTATTAGGAGTGTTTGGAACACACTCTTATTGGTTTAAATTTATTGAAAGCTACAACATCATAGGAGATATTCATTAAATAAGATGTGTGACTTATATAATTTTATGATTTCCATTAAATTTCAATCAATAACAACGAGTGTGTTAGAGAATGTGTTTTAACATTTCTCTTTTATTCAAATGTGATTCAAAACATGGAGGTACATTTTAAATCCCCTCTTTCAAAGACGGCATTCAGATCTGGTTGTTGTAATGATGAGTCTAAATTGGTAGTTAATGACAAAAGATCTCCAACAATAAGCCAACTTTTTCCATGTTTTCTTTTGTATAGCTATCATCTTCTCCAAGATAGCTTCTTACATTCAAGAACTCTTAGTGAAAATTGTATATCTTATAGAATTTATGTTTATGTCTAAAAGCCTTAAAGGAAGGGGATAAGTCTTCATATGACAAAATTTGAAATAGGATGTTTTGTATATGATCTTATACCCATTTTATTAGCATTATGTTAGAGATCCCACATTAACTAATGATAAAGCCAAATTAGTGTATATAAATGGGGGAATCCTCATTTAACAAGTTGATTTTGTGGGGTTGGTTAGGCTTAAACCAATTGTAAAATTATATAGAGCCAATTGATTATTGATGGACCTATTGGATCATTCACAATTGGGTTATTATTGGATGAACCTAAAAGAATGAGTTAGAAACTTCACATTGATTATTGGTAAGACCAAAGTAGTATATATAACTGATATTAATCCCTATCTTTTTATGACTTGTACAAGGACAATATGTTGGGAAAAACTCATGCGGTCGGTAACTCCAAAATCAATGGGTTTTAGAATTTTGTGTAGTAGTAAGAAAAGTGGTTGATAATGACATGCCTTTTCGATATTTACAAACACTTGAGTTGAAAAGATCTTGTACAAATGTTCTAATTGTTCCTTACTGAAAAGGGAGGGACACAAAGTTGCCCGTCTACTCCATGTTTTCTCCATTTGAGACTTGAAATGCCCAAATTCAGCTTTTGGATTATAATATGTGAAATGGAACTGAAGATAAGATTATTGACCAACTATGATGATGCAACTTTCTCACCTACATAATTAATAGAAGACATTGTGGGAGAACATAGGATCAACACCAAAGCTTTGACACCATGCAATTTTCGAAGAAAATGATATTTCATATTATTGATTGATCAAAATTACATGAGTTATAGAAATTGTGTACGAGAGATCTTAACCACTCTCGTTAGAAAATAAATATAAGGATTGATAGGGAGAAACATAAAAAAAAATAAAAAAAGTGTCAAATTTGAATAATCATATTAGAAAGGGGACTTTAAACTTAACTCAATCCTACAAAACTAGTTTATAAGATGAGGCTTACATTCATCTATATACTATAAATTTTTCGTATTTCTAATTGATATAAAATTTCCAATACACCCCTTATGTTGAGAACTGAAACTGGACATCTTGAGAGTGTAAGACTATATATTTGTAGTTAGTCCTACCTCACCCTCTCACGTTGAGGATTAAACTGTTAGGTAAACCTTAAATGCATGTAGTTGAGAGGTAGTAGAGGTAGAAGTTGAGAGGTAGTAGTTATATTGAATGTATGTAGTTGAGAGATAGTAGTTGTATTGAATATATGTAGTTGAAAGGTAGTAGTTGCATTAAATACATGTAGTTGAGAGGCCATATCCAAAGGCCTATAAATTGAACATGTATCACTCATTGCAAAAACATCAAGTGATAATATACAGAATGCTTTATTTAGATATTTGTTTGTCAACAAATTGGCATCAGAGCTTGAGAGTCTGAGTGTCTGAGTGCGTTAGAGAGAGTGTTTGAGAGTTAGAGAGTTTGTTCGAGATAACCAATTTAGCTAACAGCATGCCCCTGCCAAAGTTATCAAAAGGCGTAAACTATGATAACTGGAGCCTGCAAATGAAGGTTCTCCTTGGTTCCCAAGAAGTATGGGATATGGTCGAAAATGGGCACCAAGAACCAGAGAATATTGAAGAGCAGACGATTGCTCAGCTTGCTGCATTGAGAACAACACGAGTAAAGGACAAAACGGCTTTGTACGTACTGTACCGAGCTGTTGATGAGTCCGGCTTTGAGAAGATAGCAAATGCTAAATCTTCAAAAGAAGCGTGGGATATTCTGGAGAAGGTAAATAAAGGGGATAATCGCGTGAAGCAAGTCAGGCTTCAAACTCTTAGAGGCGAGCTTGAAAGCATGAGGATGAAAGAGGTCGAAGGGGTTGCCGAGTACATCTCCCGTGTTGAGACCGTGGTGAATCAACTCGGAAGAAATGGAGAGACGCTGCCCACTTGCCGAGTGGTGGAGAAAATCTTAAGGTCGTTAACTGACGACTTTGAGAATATCGTTTGTGCAATAGAAGAGTCCAAGGACTTGTTGGTGCTCTCGGTGGAAGTGTTTGTCGGGTTGCTTGAAGCACATGAGCAGCAGAGAAGGAAGAAGAAAGAGGAGTCCCTTGATCAAGCACTCCAAGCAAAGGCAACCTTAAAGGAGAAGAAGGTTCCTTATGCTCAGAACACTCAAGGTCGAGGTGGTAGAGGCAGAGGAGAATATGAAAGAGGCAAGGAGCCAGTCAGTCAACAAAACTGGCGTGGCCGAAGACAAGGTAGAGGTCGTGACGGTAGAGGCCGAGGTGGTCAGTCAAACAATTCCGGAGTTGAGTGCTTCAAATGTGGGAAGTACGGTCATTTTGCTAAGGACTGCTATTCAGGTATCAAATGTTATAATTGTGGGAAGGTTGGACATTTCGCAAAGGACTGCCGATCTGAGAGGAAAAAGGAGACAAACCTCCTCTCTGAGGACACTGAGGAAGAAGGAGTATTGATGATGTTGAGAAGTTCGGATGTCGAGCTAAGTCCGAGCTGTTCTGACAACTCGGTTTGGTATCTTGATACAGGAGCAAGTAACCACATGTGCGGGGACAAGAACTTTTTCAAGGAGCTCACTAAAGTTGAGGTCGGACACGTATCATTTGGAGATGCATCAAAGGTGGCGGTAAAAGGCAGAGGTACAATCTGGTACTTACAGAAGAATAGTCGAGTTAGAGAAATCAGAGACGTGTACTATGTACCCGATCTCAAAAGCAACATATTGAGTATGGGTCAGCTGATGGAGAAAGGCTACTCGGTTCTGATGAAAGACCGAGTACTATACCTGAAAGACAAGTCGGATCGTTTGATTGCCCGAGTAGAAATGAAGAAGAATAGAATGTACAAGTTGGACTTGAAGATAGTCCAAGAGAGGTGCTTGAAACTTGACGTGAAGGATGAAGCAATGATGTGGCACTTTCGGTTTGGCCACTTGCATTTTGGCGGGCTGACCGAGTTGGTAAAGAAAGAGATGGTGCGAGGACTCCCGTCTATGAAATTTGAAAAGAAATTTTGTGAAGAGTGTGCGCTCGGGAAGCATCCGAGGACCTTATTTCCAAGGATGACCGAGTACCGTGCAAAGGAACAACTTGGATTGATTCACACAGATCTTTGTGGACTGGTTACCTCTGAGTCCTTCAGTGGGAAAAGGTATTTCATTTCTTTTATAGATGATTTTTCAAGAAAAACCTAGGTATATTTTTTGAAGGAGAAATTCGAGGTGTTTGATGTGTTCAAAAGATTTAAAACAATGGTTGAGAAAGAGACTGGCATGCCTATCAAATCTGTTAGGTCTGATCGAGGAGACAAGTTCATTTCATTCGAACTCATGAAGTATTGCGAGGAGCAAGGGATAAGGAGATTTCTGACAACACCATACTCACCCCAACAAAACGGAGTTGCCGAGAGGAAGAATCGAACCATTCTTGACATGGTTCGAACAATGTTGAGAAGCAAAAATGTGCCAAAGGAGTTCTGGGCAGAAGCAATGCAATGTGCCATCTATGTGCAAAATAGATGTCCACATGCTAAGCTGAACAAGAAGACACCGCAAGAAGTCTGGAGTGAAAGAAAACCGAGTGTGTCTCACCTTAAAGTGTTCGGTAGCATAGTTTATGATCATGTTCCAGCTCAACAGAGGACCAAGCTCGAAGATAGAAGCAAAAAGTACGTGTTTATTGGGTATGATGAAAAAACCAAGGCGTACAGGTTGTTTAACCCAATAACTAAAAAGGTCATCATGAGCTGAGATGTTCAAATTAATGAAGAAAGCGAGTGGAGTTGGAACAACTCGGAGAAGGAGTCCATAGGAAGTAGAAGCTCAGAAGTTGATACACCACATACTGTGAGAAATCACGAGACTTCTGATGAAGAAGATGAACCTCTACAGCCCAGAGCGCGAAGTTTACAAGATATATACAACTCCACTGACGAAGTGCATGTTGTATGTCTCTTGGCAGATTCAGAAGACTTAAGTTTTGAAGAGGCCGTGCAGGAGAAAATGTGGAAAAATGTAATGAACGAGGAGATCGGGGCAATAGAACGCAACAACACATGGGAGCTGACTGATTTGCCCAAAGGAGCGCGGCCTATCAGCGTAAAGTGGGTGTACAAGAAGAAGACAAATGCTGAAGGAGAAGTTGAGCGATATAAAGTTCGACTCGTAGTGAAGGGGTACAAGCAGAAAGAAGGAATAGACTATGACGAAGTATTCGCCCCAGTGACAAGAATGGAAACAATTAGGCTGCTGATTTCCTTAGCAGCTCAACACATATGGAAAATCTTGCAGATGGACGTGAAGTCGGCATTTCTGAATGGAATCTTGGAGGAGGAAGTATATGTTGAACAGCCACTCGGATACATGCGAAGAGGAGAAGAAAAGAAAGTGTTGAGATTGAAGAATACACTTTATGGCTTGAAACAAGCTCCACGAGCATGGAATGAAAGAATTGACACTTACTTCAAAAGGAATGGATATGAGCAGTGTCCTTATGAACATGCTCTATACATAAAGAAGAAAGGAGAAGATGTGATGTTTGTTGCCCTATATGTTGATGACCTTATCTTCATGGGAAATAATGCTGAGTTAATTGAAGAGTTTAAAGAAGTGATGAAGAAGGAGTTTGAGATGACTGACTTGGGTCTTATGAAGTATTTTCTTGGCTTAGAAGTTGTTCAGGGAAAGGATGACATCTTTGTGTCGCAGGAAAGGTATGCTGAGGAGGTCTTGAAGAAGTTTAAGATGACAAGCTGCAACCCAGTTTCCACCCCTATGGAACCTGGTACAAAACTTTCTAAGTATGTAGATGGAGACCGAGTTTATGCAAGCAAATACCGAAGTCTGATTGGAAGTCTTAGGTATCTTACAAATACCAGACCAGATTTAATGCTAAGTGTTGGAATAACAAGTCAGTATATGGAGGAGCCAAGATATACTTATTGGAAGGCACTAAAGAGAATTCTAAGGTATGTGAGAGGAACAGTGTCACTTGGCCTAATGTATACTAGGACGGATGATTATCGACTAGTAGGCTACTCGGATAGTGACTGGAGTGGAGATGTTGATGACCGAAAAAGCACGTCTGGATATGTATTCTTCATGGGAAACATAGCATTTACCTGGCTTTCAAAAAAACAGCCCATTGTAACGTTGTCAACTTGTGAAGCTGAGTACGTTGCAGCATCCTGGAGTGTCTGTCATGCAGTTTGGCTTAGAAACCTTCTAAGCAAGCTGGAGTTGAAGCAAGAAAAAGGGATTGTGATTCGAGTTGATAACAAGTCGGCCATTGAATTAGCAAAGAACCCGGTCAATCATGAGAGAAGCAAGCATATTGATGTTCGGTTTCACTTCATCCGAGAACAAGTGAAAGAAGGAAATGTGGAGTTAGAGCACGTCGGAAACCGAGCACAAGCTGCAGATATGTTCACGAAGCCACTGCCAACCACTCTGTTCGAGAATAGCAAGAAGATGCTTGGAATGAAGGACAAGAAAAACATTTAAGTTTATGGGGGGATTTTGTTAAGTAAACCTTAAATGCATGTAGTTGAGAGGTAGTAGAGGTAGAAGTTGAGAGGTAGTAGTTATATTGAATGTTGTATGTAGTTGAGAGATAGTAGTTGTATTGAATATATGTAGTTGAAAGGTAATAGTTGCATTAAATACATGTAGTTGAGAGACCATATCCAAAGGCTTATAAATTGAACATGTATCACTCATTGCAAAAACATCAAATGATAATATACAGAGTGCTTTATTTAGATACTTGTTTGTCAACATAAACATCTCTAGAGCATGGAATTGGATATATGAGGATAGTTCAATAGTGACATAATAGCAGGTGACACAATAGACCCAACAAACAGCACTAAGATAGATTTTGATACCATATTAGAAAGTGAATTTTAGGTCTAAGTCAACCCTATAAAGCCAACTTATAAGGTGAGATTTGTATCTACTTATATAGATCAACTCTCATTATGAGATCTCCAACAAACCAAAACTTAATTGTAACTACCTAAATCTTCTAAAATTCGTATTTGAAATTTTGAAATAAAAGCACATGCATTTGTTGATAATTGATATGTTATAACTTTATATTTTTACATGTGAGAGCAGTATTCAAACTAATGTTTAGCAAATTTCTGTAGATTCCTAGGACTGTGGAGTATCAAGCAAAATACTTGATTTACAGTAAAAGACAACACCTATTTCTTATAGTTTATGAATTTAGTGGTACTACAAATGAAGTTGTACTTTACTGGGAAAATACTGATGCAGGAATGTCAAGCAGTAAAAGCAGCACAGTGAAAGGTATTATTTATATGCGTGGAATACATTTATTTTCTCTTTCTTCCCAAGTTTGGTCACGCATTGGGAGGTGTAAATAATTCTAGCAATTGTCTACAGGTCGAGATGCGGCATTTGTTGGTCTCAAAGAAAATCAGTTTGCTATTCTTGATGATGACAAGACAGGGTTGGCAGTATATACACTACCAGGAGAAGCTTCACAAGAAACTAAGGAAAATGATAAACATTTTGAAGAAAATCAACCTACGGAAACTAACAATTGTTCAATTCGTGGCCCAACACCATTTATGTTTGAAACTGAAGTTGATCGTATCTATTCAACTCCTTTAGGTGCTTGAATACATACATATTTAGTTGGTCATTGTATTATTTTATGTGTATTTGTAGATATGGGATCCATTAATACTGGAGAGAAAATCAAATCAATATTACTCAAATGAATTACGTCCTGTAGATGTTATTTCTCATAAAATCCATGTTGTATTAAAATTTGTATTTTATGCATCATGAACATAAAATTTCACATTGAAGACCTTTTGTATTCCACGAGGAATTCTCGAAATATTTCTATACCAGTGTTTTCAAATAAATGCAAACATCTATCATTCGCTGTAACTTTTTTTCTTATTTAACTTCTTTGAAATTTAACATGCAAGTTTTAGATAATGTTCGCTCATTCAATAGTTAGATTGGTCAATATAATTTTGTAGAAAAATTCACCAAGTTTAAATAATATCAAGTCCAATTAAACTGGCGACAGTTGATCCTTTCCCTTACACCCCAGCACATATTTTTGTATGCTTGCCATTATTTTTACCAGCAATATAAACTAGTGATATTATTTTTTTTGGTCGTAGATTCAACTTTAATGTTTGCTTCTCATGGGAACCAAATTGGACTAGTGAAGCTCACACAAGGGTACCGCCTTTCCACTTCATCTTCCAATGGTCATTATATATCAACCAAGGGCGAGGGCAAAAAGTTAATCAAGTTGAAAGGAAATGAGATTGTACTTCAGGTATCATTAGCGTGCTTATTTAATTATGATTAGAAATAGCGGTGGTGCACACCTGCTCTGTCCAATTTAGTAGGAAAAAAAAAACAGGGATGAATGAATAAAAAAAGTGGAGAGTCAAATGGAAGGATGGTTATTTAAATTCCTAATTCTTTTCAAAATTAAATTTAACCATAAATTTTTTAGAGTAATTATTTGATACAATTAATACATGATTCAGTCTTAAGAGAGAATTCGAAAAGAAAATAATAAACTGAAATAAGTTGTGTATTGTTAATGAGAATAGAACTACAAAGTTATAACTCAAGCCTTTATATAATAGGCTTATATAGTAGTGATAACACCCCTAAACTTAAGTTGTGCATTAGGAGACAGAAGAGCGGTATCACAATAGGACAGAATTGGAGCCTAACTAACTTCTGACTTGACAGTAGTGCAGTGGGGTGTGCACAAGTATTTTGAGAGAGTATAAAAAGGTTTGTAGGGAGAGAGAAGGAGGCTTGGAAATTGTCTGGGACTTGGGACAAAACTGGGCACTATCGAATTTGTCTTGTTACCATTTATTTTCTTCTGCTATTTCTAATTGTATTCTCTATTTCCAGTTTTGAATCTCATTGATTCTAGCTGGAACATCTATTATTAATATAGTTGGAGTTGGTTATTTTATCATATTTTCCTAGTTCGTATCAAATAGTCACTAATTACATCTCTAATAGCCTCGTGTAAGTTGTAAAGTGTTCACAACACTTGCAGCTTGGGATGGACAAAACAAGTGTGTACGAAATTAGAGAAAGTACAAGAAGTGCCGAAAATACATCGACTAATACAAATACAGTAACTGAACACTACATTGAAAGGATCCCTTGTTATTGGGTGACTTGTAGGCAAATGAGTATTCTTATTTATAATGAAGAAGATGTATAGTAATAAGGAACAAAAATCAATAGTTAATAATGAGAAATATATGTTATGATATTTTCTATTTGATGTAATCAAATCATGTCGTATTTCCCAATGTCATGCGATCAAACCATATCCTCAACACTCCCCTCGAGTTGGAGCTAATATATCATGTGTCAAACTTGTTGCAAATGTCACCAGCATGAGACATTGTGAGAGACTTGGCGAATATGTTAGTCAATTGGTTGCTGGAGCTCACAGTATATAATTACAAAACTTCATGTATTGATTTGGTGCAGGTGGTGTAGATGGCATGCCCAAGTAGTTGGTGGCATATATGACGATGGTTGGCTAGAAGTCTGGCAGTGTAGTGGTTGCCAGAGAAGGATAACTTTGACCACAGGGTCCCATTAGAGGTTAGAGGACGCAGTGGCTGCCGAAGAGCGAAAATGCTCGGAGGGCACAACAGTTGTAGGAGCACAAAAATTCTTGGAAGGTATGGTGGCTATGGGAGAGAAAAAATTCTTAGAGCAGTAGTTACCTGAGAGTAAAAAATCTTGGAGGGCATGACGAATGTCATTATTTACCCAAAAAGAAAGTCAAGTCACAAAATTAGGGCCAACGCGTCTAGGAAAATATCATGGCGTAAAAGCGAATTAGTGACAATACAGGTTATGGATATCGTACTGCTTTGGTACCATTGAAAGGATTGATTATAATTATGTGTTGTGTAAATACATGAGTATTCTGATTTATAATGAATAAAAGATATAGTAACCAGGAACAAAATCAACCATTAAAGATAAGAAATATTTGCTAAGATATTTTTCTATATGATGTAATAAGATTATATTTTCCTCTTTAATGTAGTCAAATCATACCTTAAACACAATCAAAAGCCAAGAGGTGAAATGTTTAACAAATAGCCACAACTCAAAGGCTGAACACTTAACAAAAACAAACATCCATGCTTACCCACCCAAACCGTGGAAGCAAAACAATGATAAATGTCTAACACCAAACGGCAGAAGCAAAACAATAATAAATGCTTAACTACCATAAAGTAGAAGCAACCAAAGCCTAACTAACAAGAGCAGAATCCAAAACAATGCTTAATCACTCAAGACAAAAGGCATAAAAAATAACTCAATGTAAATCATCCATGACAGAAGCTCAATACTATGTCTAACCACCATGAATAAAATCTTAACAGATATCCTAAATCTGTCCTTGTAAAGGATTTTTCACCAACACCCTTCTTTTAACAGATATTAAGGCACCAAATCAAACTTTACCAATTAAGATTGAAGATGAAGCAACAAAACAATAATAAAAAAGTCAATTAATGCAACAAAGAGCATATAGAATAACTTCCCATAGTGAGAATCCATATGCAGCAAATACTAATAGGAATTTCTTCCATCTTATCAAAACAAATAGAATGCATAGTAACAAATCTACATTTGATTTCAATTGCAGATTCAATCTGGAGAAATGGTTCTCATATATTTCTCCTTAGGTATTGATTTTGTTCCTTATTTTATCTCTTCTTCATTATAAATAAGAGTACTCATGTATATTCAAAATCACACAATTACAACAAATTCCCGCATTGGTATTAGATTTTTAGTTTTTCTTCTCTTCCTTCTTTTTCTTTTGCTGCATAATGTCTCATCAATGTCCTACCTTCTCTGGCATGACCCACTACACACAAAATCACACATTTACAACAAATTCCCTCTTTGGTAATAGATTTCTAGTTTTTCTTCTCTTCCTTTTCTTCTTCTGCATACTGTCTCATCAATGTTTAATCCACTTCTACTTTCTCTGGCATGACCCACTGCTAACACACCACACTACCAAAACCACCTTCCTCCAGCGACCAGTTTTGTCCGTTACCTGCCGCCATTCGCCATCACTCTTTGGTGCCTATACTTCACACATCCTCCAACAATCTTTCCATCCTCATCCTCGATTATGTTTAGTTGTTGTTTGGTTCAACATGGTTGTTGGTGGTTGTTTTGGTGTATTTAACTTTAAATACATCCAACTCAATGTTACCCTAATTTTATGTGAAAAAATCGCAGAACATCCAACTACACCATTGTTCCCCTAATTTCTACGAGAAAAAATCGCAAAACATCCAACTACACCATTGTTACTATTTAGTCCTTATTTCAAGGACGAGGTCCACTTATTACACCACCAAAATCACTAACATTCCAGTTGTTAATCAAGACCCTTGCAAGCAGAGTAGTGTTCTCTGGCCAAACTTCCAAGCACATAACTAAATTTTTTAATACATGTGTTGATATGTATACAAAGGCCAAAAAGCTATATTTTGATGATGTTCATTATTTCTACAAGTCCTCACTAGCTTATTGAACATTGGATTAGGTACATACCTCAATAAACTCGATTGCCTCTTTACAAAATATTCCCACTCATATGAAGAATCAAACAAAACAGTACCACTTATATGGAGAAATTGCATGCAGAGATGATGGAAGAAGAAAGCAAAGCATGACAAATTAAAAAACTATTCAACAGGTTTGAACAAACAAAAATGTTACATATTACATGAGGAGGAGGAAATACAAACAGTTTTTTTTTTTTCACTAACCCAAACGCAACCCACCCAACCTGCGATGACGCATCCTGGAACATGATTTTGCACTTTTTTCGATCTTGGACGACAATTCCCTTGATCCTACACTGTTCTGATCTCGTGTGGGAACTGAAAAGGTTACGGTGTGCATAATCGTGGAATTGTACGATTCCACGATTTCCTCTCGATTTTTACTACAGTGGATGTAAAGACATTTTACAACCAACAAGGACAATTCTTCACAGTTGTTGTTCTTGCTAGACTACCACCTGACCTTGTTGCACTTTGAAATTAGATTTTATTGAGACCATTACTCTACCTATGATAGAGTCTAAGAGTAGTTTTGCATCAATTCACTCCACATACTTTTTTATCCTCTTCCACATCTACTGGGGATTATTCTCTCCTTGTCTCACAACCATCCCATCATGAAGGACGTGGTGATCATGAATGTGGTCTTCGTTGAAACTATTGCAAGAATTAGAGACATATTGAAACGGATTGTTGAACCAAAGCTATGGAACAGTCTTGGTCAGTCAACGTGGCCCATGTCACAACTCCATTCTTAAATATTACTATATCTACCGCAAATATAACGAGCTTCACTAGTTTTGTCTACTTTTCAATGTTTCTTTATCAAAATTCAAAATCATTTTGGTTTGTCAATTAAAATTCTACGAACTGGAAATGATTTGATTACATTAAATAGAGATATGATATGATTTAATAAGGAAATATCTTATCAAATATTTCTCACTATTAGGTATTGATTTTGTTCCTTATAATTGTATTTCTTCTTCATTATAAATTAGGGTACTCATGTCTATACAAATCACACAATTACATGCAATCATCTCTGTGAATACAAAGTTACTACTCAAGCCTTTATATAAGCTTATAAACTATCACTAATTACATCTCTAATACTATTATTTAGTCCTTCACACATACAAGTTTTCTCAATCTTGTCTCTCAAACTCAAAATTTAAAATAATGAAGTCCCCCATACTTCCATATGATGGAGATGAAATTAACAAGAATTTCACAATATCTAGGAATACAGAATTATTTAACTTGGCCATGCCTGCACAAACCGTCTACTTTTGAGGAACGAAGAGATAAATTTTGTAAATGAACTGTCACGCGAGGTTGAATTGCTGTGGATCTCAGCGTTAGGAAGCTGATTATGGTGGACTGAGGATGTCAAAACCTATATCACTTTTGCATTTGTTTAAACTCTTAGCCTCTTCCCCTCTTTGGAGGTTTTCCAAAAATTGTGGAGAGGAATAGTTGTGCGGGTTGGTTCACATTTTTGTTGTGTAAAGTCACTTGCATGTAAGTTTATTTAGCCAACTGCTCCCTTGTCCTATAACCAAAGGCCTTTGTTCAGCATCCACAAAGAAAGCTAAGGCTCTTTACAGCCATGCCTCCCTTGGTAAAAGTCATTACTCATTAGTTTAGGGTTCCTTGTTTGTAGAAATAATATTGAATGACTTTATTATGATTATTCTTCGTAACAAATGCATGTTTGTTTAAATTTGGCAGGTGTATTGGCAAGAGACTCTCAAGGGACAAGTTGCAGGAATTTTAACCACACATAGAGTACTTATTGTTTCGGCAGAACTTGACATACTTGCCGGCAATTCGACAAATTTTGACAATGGGCTTCCTTCAATATCCTTAGGTTTTATTTTTTTTTTCAATTAATATAAAGGAACCCTTTGTTCCTATTAATTACAAATTGATTGATCAAGTGTAAAACATGGGAGATGAGGAGGTGAAACATAAATTGTACTCTCACTTTTTCTTAAAGCCATTAATTTGGTCGAAAACCTCACTCTATTATCTAATAACCTCCTTCCCACACCTACTCAGACAAGAAAGCCATAAATTTCATATTTTAGTTGGATAGATTTTTTTATTTTAAAGACTTAACTGATGCCTACTTTAGATCACTCTTATGGATTGGACCTGCCCTTCTTTTTTCTACTGCCACCGCAATTAGTATACTCGGATGGGATGGGAAAGTGAGGACTATCTTGTCAACTAGTATGCCTTATGCAGGTAATTTTCTTACTGCATGGTTATCACAATACCTTAGTCATCGGTTTTGTGAGTTCAATTTTGGCAACTAATTTTTTACTTGAGATATGAAGAAAAGATGAATAATTTTCAGACTATTGTATACAGGATGATTACAGATATATACTAAGTGACTAATTAATTCTAACCTAGTATTTACATGAATACTCTTTGTACAGTAATAGGACAATGATTAGTGTGGAGAATTTTTAGGGTTTTGTGTACATGTATTTATGATATATAATGTAAGTATATTTCTATTCATGTATTTTATCTATATATAGAGTAAAAATATTACAAAATATCAAATATTAATAATATCTCAATTATAACGTCTTAAATCAAAATAATAATTTAATGTCCTTTTACCTTCTCTCTTAAAAGATAATAAAATCTCTTAATACCTAATTTAAATAAAAGATAATAAAGTAATATTATCAACATTCCTCCTTACTTTAATATCTATTTATTTGAATTTGATATTCTTCATTTTATTTTGCTTATAATTTTTTCTCCTTTTTTGTTTATACTTCTTATCATCTTCTTTCTTGTATGAGATCGCATCTTCATTCAACTTCACTTTTTTCATTAAAATATTTCTTCCTTTATCAACTTCATCTCCTTTGTTTCTTTCAAACTTCTTTATGGTAGTACTCGTTGACTCTTTGATAGAAGTTGGAAATGATTTCTTCATCTACATCTTTATTTTCCTCCTTAACATCAAGTTCCTTCAAGAAATCTTCTTCCGGCTTTTTCTTTGACTTTTCTTTTATATCTTCATTTGTAATCATCTTTTCTTTCATCAAATCTAAAGTGAAATTTTTTTCTTTCATATGAACTTTGAATATTTCCAAGTTATTTGTATCTTTAATCACACAAAGTTTGTGCTCAAAAGACACCTTATAACTTTTCTCAAATAATTGAGCAACACTTAACAATTTATGATTTATATCAGGAACATATAAAATATCAAAAATTAATTTGATACCCGAATGACTTTTAACTGCAATTGTTCTTGTACCTTTCACATCCATTTCTTCTCCATTACCAATTCTCACTTTAGAAATATGTGATTCGTTGAGCTCTTTGAAAAGTTTTCGATCATGAGTCATGTGATTTGTACAACCACTGTCTATAAGTCAACCTGTGGATTTGTTGATGGTAGAGCATGTTGATGCAAAGAGAAGTACATATTCTACTCTATCCTCTATAACTTGAACGACTTCCTCTGATTGTGATTTGCATGTATTTTCTATATGTCCCAATTGACCACATTTGTGACATTTCACATCAGGTTTCCACTAACACTTGTTGGGTGTGTGATTATTTTTCTTACAATAAGGACAAACAGAAAAGACTCGTGATTTTGTACATTTGTTGTTCTTGGCTTAGACAGAACTTCCATCATGATATAGTAAAGAACCTGCACCAACAGCATGATCTCCTCTCATCAATCTTCGTTGTTCTTGTGCTTGTAAAGCATGTAGCACTTCTATCAAAATAATATTAGACAAATATTTTGTGTTTTCTAATGAAGCCATAGATGTTTCATATCTCTCTGGCACAGTTACCAGAATTTTTTCAACTATTCTAGAATCAGAAAATTCTTTGCCTAACAATTTTATTTTGTTAGCAATACCCAATAATTTGTTTGAGTATTCATTAATTGGTTGAGACTCTTGCATCTTTTGTATCTCAAATTCCTTTATCAAGTTCAGAACTTTCATACCTTGAATTTTCTCATCCCCTTCATATTGATCTTTCAAATAATCTCAAATTTCTTTGGGTGACTTTAGCGTCATGATTCTGGTGAGAATCATTTGTGAAACACCAGCAAACAGACATGATTTAGCTTTTGTCTTCCTCGTTTTTCTTTCTCTGTGAAATTTCATTTCAGCTATGGTGGGATTTTCAAGCAGTGGATCAACAATATAATCTTCTTCTACAGCTTCCCATACATCCAATCCTTCAAGACAGGATTGCATTCTCACAGCCCATAAGTCATAACTTTCGCCATCAAAAATTGGAATAGCGACTTGTGAAAATTTTCTTTCTCCTTCCATTGTGTTGAATCAAAGCTCAAATACCAATTTGTTGAGAATTTTTAGGATTTTGTGTATATGTATTTCTGATATATCATGTGAGTATATTTCTATTCATGTACTCTATGTATATATATAGTAAAAATATTACAAAATATCAAATATCAATAATATCTCAATCATAACTGCTTAAATCAAAATAATAACCTAATGTCTTTTTACCTTCTCTCTTGAAAGATAATAAAATCTCTTAATACCTAATTTAAATAAAAGATAATAAAGTAATATTCTCAACAATTAATACCTAATTTAAATAAAAGATAATAAAGTAATATTCTCAAAAATAGCTCTTTGTACAGTGATAATATAATAGCTCTTTACTTCTTGTATTGATTCAAATAAGTTGAATAATTTTTTCTGAGTAGAATTTTTTTCTGAACTATTCTCTAAATCTAACAAATGCTATTGGTTGATCTGCTGTCACAGAGAACTTCAATAATTATTTTTGTTAGAAATTTTGCATTAACTAAATATATAATCAACTTATAACATAAAATTGAGGTACAAACATCACCTTACAACTCAGTTTTGTAAGAATGAGTTAAGAGCTTCTCCATTTAATATGATATTTGAGTCTATCTTAGCGAAATTTGTTGGGCTATTACTACAGGCATTATCAGGCCGCGCTATTAGATCATCTTTAATATTCAGTTCCAAGCTCTTGAGATATTCATTCCCACTATTAAATCATCTTTAATATTCAGTTCCACGATCTTAAGATATCCATTCCTCAGTGTGAGGGGTATGGTGAAGATCTCACGTTGATTAGAGAATAACCAACTTATACATTTTAATTGAGGTGAAAACCTCACCTATCAAACCGGTTTTATAAAGTTAAGTTATGCACCTTTCCATTTATAGTCATTTTCCTTCACAACTCAAAACCCTAGCCCAAAATTCTGCCTTGACACTTTATCCTGTTACTACACTTTTATTTTAGCTATTCCAATGGCATATATACGCTGGAGCGGGTCTTCTTCTCAATAGTACACCTGCATAGTCTGCATCTCACTACAAATATATATCACTACTAAAAATTCTCATTTTTCATGGGAATATTTTTGTAAAGTTTTTGTAAAATTTGCAAGAAATAAGTTTTTTATAAATTTAAACAATTTTTTATAAGAAAATTGACAGAAAAAAAAATAATTTTCTAGTAGTTTATTGACAATTGATTTCTGACATTGTATTTAGGAGAGAGAATCTTGCTATCATAATTAAAGGAAACGAAATGGATACTAACTACATGGAAACAAATCTGTACATGTAAAAACTGAAACAGGGAAATTAAAAGACTAATTAACTATTGTCCCACTGATCTATTTTTACAAATTCCTTATGCAGTCTTGCTTGGTGCTTTGAATGATCGATTGTTGCTTGCTAGCCCTACAGAAATAAATCCCAAACAGATGAGGGGGATTGAGGTCAAAAGCTGCCTTGTTGGTCTTCTTGAGCCTCTTCTTATTGGATTTGCCACTATGCAACAAAGTTTTGAGCAGAAGCTTGACCTATCAGAAATACTGTACCAAATAACATCAAGGTGTCGTTTGCTACCTACATGCTATCAGAAAAATCTAACTTCTTTCTATATAGGGTAGAATGTTTAGACTTCAATTCACATTTCTTTATCTATGTAAAAGCTTGTAACAACTGATGCGTGCCTTTGTAAATTCTTATGTGAATGAAGGTTTGACAGCTTGCGCATAACACCTAGATCTCTGGACATCCTCTCTAGAGGTTCTCCAGTTTGTGGAGATTTAGCAGTGTCGTTATCTCAATCAGGTCCACAGTTCACCCAAGTAAGTGCTAGAATTCTCCATCTTGGCATTTGGTTTTATTTGGTTTTAGTCTATCTGATCATCTAAGGATATTTAGTTTTAAAATCAGGTGATGCGGGGTGTCTATGCTGTGAAAGCTCTTCGTTTTTCCACTGCTTTGTCTGTTCTAAAGGACGAATTTCTGCGTTCAAGAGACTATCCACAATGTCCTCCTACATCTCATTTATTTCACAGGTTCAGGCAGTTGGGTTATTCCTGTATCAGGTTGGTAACGATAATTAAGAAACTTCATTGAACTTATGATGCTGCCATTGTATCTAATGAAACTGTTGAAATATGACTGTTGTGTATTCTATCATTATTGATTTTCTTGAATTATTACTTGTTATTATTGGTAAAGTTTTACTCTCCTATCCCTGCTAATAGATAAACTATTATGTATCTAAAATTCTATATTATATATGAAAACTGTACATTTTTTTTATTTACTTTATAGTGGATGTTTCAATTGCTTGACTATACTGTATAGATAAGACTTGTAATAGAACCATGGGGTTGGGGTGTCTGGAGCTCCTCCCGCCGGATTGATCCATTTTCAAGAACAATTCCATGTCCGAACCAGGGATCAATCCCCAGACCTTGGTTAAGGGACCCAAATGCCAAACCACTTGTGTCAACAACTTTTGATTATTGCGTTGTCTTTCGATTCATGTAGTTGACCAAACTAGGGAGAAAAGATCTTGAACCTTTTAGTGGCTGTTGCTTAGCATTAATAATTTGGCGTTATTCGGATAAACTTTTTCACTAGCACTTACTAAAGGATAAAATAAAAAAGTTAAATGAATTATGTTTCCAATAAATGAAAATCATCTTATGAACACTGATTTTCTTATAGAATTTTCTCGAGTAACTTTTCCAGAAAATAAAGTGCATAAATTGATTTTAGTTTATGGGAGAAATTTAATTCATGTTATCATTTTCTTACGTGCACTTATAGAGAAGTTTATCTAACGAGGCCTTATTATTGTGTGGTTTAATTACTCGTTTTGTCTCTATACATTAAAAATGTTTACATTTTAGTCCCTACAGCTGAATTGAGTAGTTTCTAGGTGTAGAAATAACAAACTGTAACAACTTATAATTCCATCAACCTTCTCATACTATTGATGAGCTGTTGTGTGGATGATTTATACGCTATTTTTTGAAATAGTGTGATTTAAAAGTTTGTTCACTTCTGTAATTTAAGATCACTTGCAGGTTTGGTCAGTTTGATAGAGCTAAAGAAACCTTTGAGGTTACTGCAGATTACGAAAGCATGCTTGATCTATTTATATGCCACCTTAATCCTAGTGCCATGAGGCGTCTTGCTCAGAAGTTAGAAGAAGAAGCTCTTGACTCAGAATTGAGGCGACATTGTGAAAGGGTTTTACGGATTCGCTCTAGTGGATGGACTCAAGGCATATTTGCCAACTTTGCTGCAGAAAGTATGGTTCCTAAAGGACCTGAATGGGGTGGTGGAAACTGGGAAATCAAAACCCCTACTAATGCAAAGGATATACCTCAGTGGGAGCTTGCTGCAGAGGTGACTCCATATATGAAGACTGATGATGGTGCAATTCCATCCATTATTGTAGATCAAATAGGTGTGTATTTAGGCTCAATTAAAGGAAAAGGTAATGTTGTTGAGTTAAGGGAAGATAGCTTAGTTAAAGCATTCATCCCTCCAAGTAACGATTTTAAAGCAAATGGTCTTGAAGTATCTTCACGAAAACCCATATCTAATCAAGCGGTTGGTAATTCAAAAGGCGCTTCATTAATGGGTCTGCAAAGTATTAACAAACAGAATGTCAGTTCCTCTACTGATGAACAGACTAAAGCAGCAGAAGAATTTAAGAAATCCATGTATGGAGCTGCTGCTGGTGATAGCAGCAGTGATGAGGAAGGAGTATCAAAAACCAAAAAAATACGTGTTAGAATTCGAGACAAGCCAGTTACCTCTTCTACTGTGGATGTGAATAAGATTAAAGAAGCCACTAGTAAATTTAAACTAAGTGAAGGGTTAGCTCCGACAAGGAGCAGGTCATTAACCAGTGGATCCCAAGATCTTAGCCATATTTTATTGCAGCCACCTGTAGCTACTGGAGTGGCTGCTCGCACTGTTTCAACTCCAGCTGACCTGTTTGGTACAGATGCCTTGACTCAACCAGAATCAATTTCACAGCCAACTACTGGGGTTGCAAGTGGGGGAACTAAAGTAGGACCTATTCCAGAAGACTTCTTTCAGAATACAATTCCATCCCTTCAGGTTGCTGCTTCACTGGCTCCTGCTGGGAATTATCTCTCTAAATTTACAGCAGCGGCTGAAAGTGGCAAAGCAACTCAAAACCAGGTTAGTGCTTCCAAATATGATGTTACTCGTCAAGGTGATGTTTCTCCTCAAGCTGTTCAACAAACTGTGTCTCCTATTGAGTCCGTAGGACTTCCTGATGGTGGTGTCCCACCACAATCTTCAGACCAGGCTGCAGTCATGCCCTCATCACAGCTTCAGGCACCAATTTCTAGCCAACCTCTTGATCTTAGTATATTTGGAGCACCAAATACTTCTAATTCTGGAAAGCCTCCACAAACTGGTTCTCCTTCATCCTCTGTACAACCTGGACAGGTATAAATACATACGTGCTGCCTATTCATTTACATGTGGAATGAGTAATGCTTTCTAAACAGAGTATTAAAGATATGGAAATAGATAAACAGAAATGGTCATTTTTAGGGAAACGGGTTAGGCCGGCGGGCCGACCCGGCAGGTTGGTGTTTTCAGTCCACCAGCCCGCTTTGGCCCGTCAAGCCTGCTAACCCATCGGGCCAACCCGTGGGACGGGGTAAGCCACCCGCAGTCCGCCTAATTAATAAAAAAATAATTTTTTATTGTAATAATATTAATTATAAAGATAATATATAAAGTTAAAAATTTTAAAAAGAGAATTAAAAAGGTTTAATATTCTTATTCCTGAAACATAATTTTCTCTCCTGTTCTTTTTGTTTATCCTAAACACTGATTATTTTTATCCTTATTATTACTTGAATTAATGGTGTAAGAATTACTCAATCAAGAATAATACGAAGTTTTATCAAATAAAAAAGATATAGGTATTTAAATTTTTCAATTTAAAAAATATAAATTTATATAAGTTTAATGTTATTTATATATATATATATATATATATATATATATATATATTTGTTATTATTTATTATTATGTAAATTTTATTATTGTTCTAAATTATAATTTTTATTATTGTTCTAAATTATAATTTCTTAAAATAATGTATTGATTTATATTATTAAATTGAAATAATATATATATATATATTGAATTATTGACAAACAAATAATAATTTTATTATTCAATTTATTTAAAAAAATATATTTTTTTCTAAATTATGACGGTCAGCTCGCCAACCCGCCCCTTTGCGGGACTGAGCTAAGGTTTACTGCCCATTATGACTATATCGGGTCAGCTCGCCCCACCTCGCTTTTGACGGACCAAAGACGGGACGGGCCAAAACGAGGCGGGCTAGCCGGTTTTGCCATCCCATCTCTTTTTTTGGTTATTTCTTATGATTAGAGAAGAAATTAAATAGGTTTGTCAGGTAAAAAAATTTCTGATTGAACTGGCGTGTCCTTATAAACAATGATTACTTCTGATAATGCCGCAGCCAAGCAATTAACTTTACTGAACCTAGTGAGTCACATATAACTAAGGTATATTTTAAGAAGAAAGGAAAGGACATCAGGGACTTAGAAGGATGTGGGGATAATGGAGGACATAAGAGGGGATTAGTTTGGGAGTTTGTATTGTTACCACTGCCTGACAGATTGCTGGTAGGGAAGTCACCTGATTCTGTTGGTGAATTAGAATACAGATAACGGAGATGAATGAGGATTGGGATGTGGGAGGAAGCAAAGCCCTTTAAGAGTATAAGTCCCTCTGTCATTTTTCTTATGTTTGAATCTTTATGTTTGATATTTAATTTATACAAATCCCTATGATACCAGAAGCTGAAGGACCTTGTGGAGATTCCTTCAATAAAACTGTGTTCTATTTCCAGCTTCCTATCTTTTAGTTTGTATTATTTTTCGGTTCCCAGTCTTATGGCTCATATGACAGGTTCCCCGAGAAGCTGCTGCTTCTGTATGCTTCAAGACTGGACTTGCTCACCTTGAGCTAAATCATCTTTCAGATGCTTTGTCTTGCTTTGACGAAGCTTTTATTGCATTAGCTAAGGAACAATCTCGTGGAAGTGATATAAAAGCTCAAGCAACAATATGTGCTCAATACAAGATAACAGTCACTCTTCTTCAGGTACTATTACTATGCTTCAATTTCTAATGGCATGGATAGTATGGACTCCAACCTACAAGTAAATTAGGTAATTGAGCTTCTGTTTCCTTGGCCATAATGCAGCGTTGTTGTAAAACTGTAGTTACAGATTTTCCATGCTGTGGATATTTATTGTGTAGCTAAGTCGTCAATGACAGCTCACCTGAAACTGTATTTTTGCATTGAAAGTCTTTATTCTTTATTACTTTAAAGCTGTCTTCGGGACTGCAGGAAATTGTACGTTTGCAAAAAGTTCATGGTCCAAGTGCAATTAGCGCAAAAGATGAGATGGCTAGACTTTCTCGCCATCTGGGTTCGTTGCCTCTGCTCGCAAAGCACAGAATAAATTGCATTCGAACTGCCATAAAACGAAATATAGAGGTGCAAAATTATGCATATTCCAAGCAAATGTTAGAACTGCTATTGTCTAAAGCACCACCAAGCAAGCAAGAGGAATTTAGGAGCCTCATTGACTTGTGTGTTCAGAGGGGTTTGACTAACAAGTCCATCTATCCATTTGAAGATCCATCACAGTTCTGTGCTGCCACATTAAGCAGGCTGTCGACAATTGGATATGATGTCTGTGATCTCTGTGGATCTAAATTTTCAGCTCTGTCTGCAGCTGGATGCATCATCTGTGGAATGGGCAGCATCAAGAGATCAGACGCAGTCGCAGGACCAGTTCCTTCACCTTTTGGTTGAGTCACCAGGATTTATTTGCTTGTACCATGTCTTTCCTTGCGATGCTGTGTATAGAGAGATGTAATTCCGTTGTAGGGAGGGATTTGTATAACTGAGGACAATATTCGCTATGGATCTGGGAAAATTATAATTTCAACATTATTTTGCACACAGCTTTTCGTTTTTCCTTTCGTTTTTCCTTTCGTTTTTCAATTTCCATCAAGGGGACGCTTTCTATGTAATGACAGAATGTTATTTTCCAATAATTTTGTAACATATTGACCATTTATAACACAATTGTTGATCCAGAGAATAAACGAGTTTGCTTTATAAGAAACCGCCAGTTTTCCTACAAAAGCATTTCCACTCCCCGATTACATTGTCCAAAAAGGCCAACTCCCTTCGCAAAATGATCACATTATTTTAAATATGTACTAATTGTGTGAACTATTCCACATACAAAAATCCACCACATGAAAGTTCAGAAATCTGTGCTGTCTGAAATGTCGAGGTATTGCAAACAAATAAGTGTTGGTTCACAGACATGGAAGAGAGAGATTCTTTAAAGGACATTCTGTGACATGTAACTAAATAAATGTATTTTGGAATCTAAACATGAGCTTCATCCAAAAATGGAAATTTATGTTTTATAGTAGTAGTATCTATTAGATTCTGTCCAATTAAAAATGTTTTCAGAGGATAAGAAAGTGGACTTACTAACTTAACTTCTATACTATAATCCTATTATTAGTAGTATATTATTATTACCTGATGAGCTTCTTCATCTTCAATAAATCTGGGTTTTTTTATATGTTTTGTTATTAAAAAGGATCTTTTAATTTTCTCCTTTGAAGTGGTCATGGACATTTTAATTTTAACTTCTATACCCAATTGGAGGTGATTATTGCCTGTAAATCCTGAGCCAAAATATAAGACAAGTTTGTTTGTGTACTTAGCTGCTGGCCATTTGAGAGTGAAAGTAAAACTCAGAAATAATATCACTTCTTTCTTCTTAAATAATAGTATTTTAATATCCCTTTGTTTTTTTGCAGAAATCAGGGACATTTATGGAAAGCTCACGTGTTATGCATGCACAGTGAATGTAAAGATTTGAGGGAAGAGCAAAAATTATTCATGGACTTGTATATTCCTCCGTGCAAACCAAAAACTAGAGGGTAGCATGTAAATGAATGTGCCCTGATATCAGTGCTGTGCTCAACCATTGGAACACAATAATGAAGCTCAAAACCATTCTTGCTGTCACACCAAGAAACCAGTTTTGGTGGGACATTGCCACCGCCCAAAACCTTCTTCCAAATCTACCTTTTCACGTACGTGGATATTAAATTCTAGTCCAAACTCAGCCTACATTTAGTTTGAGTGAAGTTGTTAAATTGTATATAAATTAAATAATGCAATATTATGTATTTAAGAATATAAGTGACTCTGGTGAATTTGTTTAGCAACTAGTATCATAACCCGTGCAACGCACGGGATTTTTGAAATTTTTATATTTAATAAATAATATTTTAATATTAATTTGGTTGCAGCCCACTTTTGTTGCAATGAACTTCTTTCTTGTTCTTGATTGTTTTGAATCATTTGGTTCCATTATTTTAAAATATGTAATTTTGTTACACAAAGTGATATAAGATGAGTATCAAAGAGAATGAGATTTAAAGAGATGAGAAATGCACTAAAGAGTATTTGGTCTATTAGTATATTTTGTCTATTTACTATTAAAACATAATTATAATCTCTATTTTTTCAAAAAGTGTTACTATATTAGTGTAAGCTCATTGGCTTATTTGTATAAAGCAATTGTACTTTTTTCCAATAATAATTACTTTTTTCTGTAACATACCTGCATAAACTCATCCAAAAAAGAGAGTAACAAAATATAATAATAGCATGACCAAAATACTAAAATAAGTTACTGGTTATAAATTGAAGTAATAACTTTGTGTGATATTTTGGAAAAGGTAAAAAGCAAAGTCAACTTTAAACATTGTACTACAATCTATGATTCAGAAATAAGATAACTCTTTCTGAACATAAGTTTTTCATAAGGCATAGATTGGAATGAGAGAATATATATTTATTTTATGCAGACGTAGGAAATTTAACATTTAAGATTCAAAATACAGGAAATTTAACATTTAAGATTCAAATTATCGATCAAAAGTCATGATAGACATATTACAAAAGAAAATCCTAAAACAATAACTTAACTATATTACAAAGAGAATAAGAGGACATAGATTGGAATGAGAGAATATATATTTATTTTGTGCAGACGTAGGAAATTTAACATTTAAGATTCAAAATACAGGAAATTTAACATTTAAGATTCAAATTATCGATCAAAAGTCATGATAGACATATTACAAAAGAAAATCCTAAAACAATAACTTAACTATATTACAAAGAGAATGCTTATTACATAAGTCATATTATCATATCCAAAACCAAACTTTGACTAAATATTTTGAATTGTTGCCAGCTTGAAATTATCACTTCATGACCTTCCTTCAATCTATTTTTATGACAAAATTGCTTCCACTCTTTTCCAATTTTGGAGGATTTTTTTGGTTGGTCTTTAATTAGAAGTTTACAACGAACATGACTTACTTCTCCACAGAGTAATAAAGTTTTGAATCTACCTCAAAATCCAATGGCAAATCCTATTAAATATTGAACGCTAAAATTAAAATATCACTATAATAATAAAAAATAGCTAAACAATTAATATAAGGATGAGAATAAGAATAGAAATCAAACCAAATGAATTCATTTGCTTTGGGATTTAGTTAGTGTTATTGGAAAATAAACTAAACCTTCTCATCATGAAAGGCGATCCTCAAAGTTCTTCACAGTTGAAAGTGTAGAAGTACCTTTAATTACTGTTATTCGAAAAATAGAATGTCCAGCATATTGAAACAAAATGAAATGGTTCCCAGTCATACAGTAACCTTTAAGGACATTGTCAAGTACCTAAGAAAATTCATTAATCTTAAAAACCATGATTGTGCTATTACAAAAAGACAAGAGTATATGAACATGCATAGTTCATGAAGAATGACAAAAGAAACCATTAAAGTCAATATAAACCAATACAACAACAAATCACACATTGTTACATAAACATTTGTATCATTTCCAAGCAAAAATTTTGATCGTATTTTTTGAAGGGGTGCTAGCCTAAATCATGAGGTGGTCATCTTTCAATATGTAATTAGAATGACAAAATTTCTTCCATCCTTTGCCAATTTTGGTGGACTTCTTCTGTGAATCTCTGATCAAAAGTTTACACTTGACTCGACAATATTCTCCACAAAGTATTACAGTTTTAAATCTACCTTTCCGAACATAAGTTGCAAAATCCACTAGCAAGTCCTATTAAAAACAAAGACTACAAATTAATAGACCACCATAAGGATGAGAAAAAAAGGGACTTAAGTTTTAGGTTATAAAATAATGACATGAGAAAAAAAATCATACCAAATGACTTGCATTACTTCCAAATTTGGTAATTGCTACTGTAAAAAAAAAAAAACTAATTCATCCCACCATTCAACATGGGAAAAAAACTTTTGAAGAGTATTTGATGCGCATGAACTTTTGAAGATAGTTATCTGAAAAGTATTGTTACCTACATATTGAAATAACATGTAGTTGTTCCTAGTTAAATTGTAAAACTTTCTCATGTCAACCTAACATTATGTTAGCAGTAGTTTATGTAGATCCATATTATAGGTAACGATGTGTCTATTATTTTTGTCATCAATAAGACACCATTGATTACCCAGTTCTAAGAAAAACAACATAGCAAACTCACAATCTACATAACTAAAATCCTGTAACAAAAATAGTCAAGATAGGTAATAAGGACTAAAGAAATAAAGTTTGAACAAAAGATAAGAAAATAAAAGAAAGGATTCATTAACCATTCGAATACGATTTTTACTTCATAACCAAAAAGTAAAGAAAAAAATACCACATCCTGCAGATGTATTGTACTGAAGAATCCATTTGTCTTTCTCCGAAGTATGGTGGATGTGTTATCCATTTCCTATAAAAAAGTTGCTATCAAGAGAGTATGCAAATGAAAGGTAAAGAAGCAAATGACTTAATGGGCCTATGAATAAACTTTAAAAAAAAAGACAACAGATGAATCTTTGAAAATATCAACAGTAATAAATGCTACCATCAGAGTTGTATGTTTCCAATGTAAATCATAATTGTAAATAATGAATAAAATAATAAAAGAAATAAACATATGATCGGATGAGAATAGATCAGTATATTTCTCACAGACTAAAGTTGAATGATGGGACGGGATGGGAAAAAATAGAATGATGGTTTCTCTTCCTTCGATGTATGCTTCCTGTATCTTCCATTTTGTGTAGAAGAAAGAAGAACCGACACAGTAATAATAAATAAATACAAGTAAATGTTTGAATACAATTCAAAGATTGAAAAGATAAAAATACTTAGAAATAGTTACATTAAGTGGGCTTCCATTCCTCCATCAAAAAATATAGAACCGTGTTGTAGAAAAAATATGTGTAAATATGAGTAAATAAATGCAAAGGATGAATCTTTGAAAATATCAACGGTAATGAATACTACTATTAGAGTTGTATGTTTCCGATGTAAATCATAATTATAAATAATGAATAAAATAATAAAAGAAATAAACAAATGATGGGATGGGATTAGATGAGTAGATTTGTCATAGAGTAATGTTGAATGATGGGACGGGATGGGAAAAAATAGTATGATGATTTTTCTTCCTTCGATGTATGCTTCCAAGCATATATTGGAAATAGAGTAATGACTTATATTTTCACCTGCTTATCGAAGAACTGAGACAAGTAATAATAAATAAATAATAAATAAATGCAAGTAAATGCTTGAATACAATTCGAAAATTTAAAAGATAAAAATACTTACAAATAGTTACATTAAGTGGGCTTCCATTGCTCCATCAAATGATTGAGCCTCAAAAAATATAAAAGAGGCTTGTATTAAAAGATATAATAAGAATACTTCTCAATACTTAAAGTAATTGGGCATTTCATTACTCCATGAAATCATTAGGCCTCAAAAAATATAGAACCGTGTTGTAGAAAAAATGTGTAAATATGAATAAATAAATGCAAAGGATGTTTGAGGAAAGACATACAACTTATCCAATCTCACCAAACTAACATAAATATTATAATAAGAGTTCATTATATTGATAATACAACATATCATAATGCAGTTCATCAAAACTACGACAACAAAATATTCAAAATTTTTCTTAGATCATAATACAGTTCATCAAAAGTACCACAACAAAATATTCATATTGATAATACAACACATCATAATGGAGTTCATTAGATCTATTAAGTTACTTAATTTTTCTCCGTCTTGATATTTTTCTTCAATATTTTTAAAGGTATATCTTCATCTTCTGTGTCCAAGTTTGTTATATTGTGTCATTTAATATTTGTCATGACCAAGTCATTGCTGAGACCAATATCAGATGTTAAATCAGTTGGTTCAGAGTCAACATCATTAGATGCATTGGAGAACTTTGTTAACAAATCTTGTAAAAATAAGTTGACATACTTTAGACTAATTTGTTTTAATGCTATATTTGTAATAATGAAGAGAAATCCATTAAATACCTCGACAACAATAATATAAGTATTTCCAAATTTTGATTGTTTGCTATTGAATATTGCATTTTCTGAATTGACATCCTAATAAATTTCATTTGGTCAAGATAGAAGTAGAATATCATGAATAACAAATATCAGTTATTGAGTACCTATTTACCATTGATTTCATGCAACCATCGATGAAGTTTTTTATAATAACATCATCTGCACAAATTTTCTTGACTCTGAATGTTTGTTCAAACCTGAAACTCTGACCACATGTAGACTCAACTTTAAAGAGAAACGTCTTATTTACCAGTTCTTCAATCTCATTCGGGAAATTCCCATTTAACAACATTCTATAAAAGAACCATATTAAACATTCAACGCAATGTAATAAATAGATAAATAATACATTTAATAAATAATAAATATAGAAAAAAAAACTTATCCTGCGAATCAAACATCTCTGCGCATGGTTTTTTTAACAATGTAGCAACATCCCTATCAAAAATTAAAAAAGTTGTTGAGTCTGTTTCGTCAATTACCCTCACCTTAAGCTTGCACCTGAAATTCATAAGCAATAAAATATTGTTTGTAAGAATTTCATAAAAAAGTTGAAATATGATGCCAAAAAAATAGCATTGATTAGTACATAGGCATGACTTTCATGACATGTTTATTACATTTTTCACAGAAAAACATTTTGGAATCTAGATATACTGCTTTGTTGCACGCATAAGCTGAATACCACCAATCATCATCATGAACAATATGTCTTATAGTGCCTAGAATTACAAAACTTGTTTCCTGTAAAAACAAATATGAACAATAGTAATTAAAACTAAAATGAATAGACAATAACCTTAATGAACATTACTAATTAATAGGAATGGAGTAAGGAATAGACTAATAATGATTATAACACCTGTTTACAATCTTTTAAACCCTCTATTGTATTTCTAGGAGTAGATTGAAGAAATTCATCTTCATTGGTTTGTTTAGAAGAGTCAGAAAGTTGGCTTAACCCCTGGGCAGGTGACTCCATACTCTGAGACATCCTACATTCAATAAAACATAAGTTAAATGGACATTTTAGTTGGTTAACACTTCAAGTGAAATTTATGATTTACACATTTTTTTAAGTTGTCTAGCTTGTTCGCACTGAGCATTGAAAATTATCCTTGTACAATCTATACAATTTTGCACATATACTTTATCTGTAAATAACGTATAAAACTATAAAACTATAATATAATGTCAATAATTGTAACTAATTGTAACTAATTATAACACCAATATATTAGTTACCTTGAAAGATTTTGACTTTGCCGAATTGTATGATTATGACAGGATTTTGGATATCTCCAAATGCAAGGAATGCATTTAGGTTATCAACATATTGGTCAAACAACGTACACTCTACTCTAAAACTAAGTTTGAAAAACAACACATATTAAAAAAAAAAAAAACTATACTATAGTAAATCTTTAAGCATCAATAAATGGGTTAAAGAGTTTTACCCATCAGCCTCTTAGCATATCATGTTTAGTTTTGTTTTTATATCATTCTTGTCTAGCTCTCTTTCTGTCCCAACTCCTATAAGTATTCCCATGACATTTGTTTGTGAAATGATGTTTCATGTGAGTAACGTCATATACTAAATAATAAATAAATAGTATATGATAAAAGAGAGTATTTAACATCATGTTATATGCACTTACCAACCAAGTAATTTGTGTCAAATTCAGGAGCCGTAATAATTGAGAGCAGTATATATTGACCATTATTTTCAGTTATAACATAACAATCAACTAAGTTCACTTTGGTTCCAAACTAGAAGTTGATTTTGTATGGGTGGTGGGTGGTTCTATAAGAACCACCATTTGATCCAAGACCAAAATTTTGAATAGAGTACACACGCCCCTCAGTAATTTCATTTTGAAATTTATAGATGAGAGACCTCCTAACAGAACCCTAAATTTTGTCACCTTACATTAAGAAAATGAAATCACAATTGAATGTTATTTAAAATGTATTGAAAGCATGGTAGTGCAAGTGACCTTCATATCTTGCATGACAAAGTCCATGGAAAATGGCAATTTGTGTTTAGTGAAATCTGAAACAAACCACAGGCGTATGACCTTTGCCAATATATTCCAATTTTCTTTTTCAGCATTGAGTTCTGAAACAGAGTGATACTTTTTTTGCAAATTGGACATATTGCAAACTGAATGTAAAAAATAGATAGAGAATAACTCACTCAACGTAGAAATATTGTCATCACATATGTATATTTATAAGCATGATGGAAAGGGAGAAATGTTGCCTTTATTTTAGAATTTGAAATGTTAACAATATTAAAGTAATTTGAATTCAAAATTTTGTAAAGTGAAGATATTACCATTTTCATGTATCTGGCTTCCTGTATTTCCATCATGATCTAAAAAACTGCAATTTTTATACCTTTAGCTTGGGCTAACCCATAAGTAAATGCAAATCAATAAGCAAAATTACATAAAACTATACTAAAACAGGTATAAATAGATCTACAACCCTAATGATGGTCAAAGAAGACAATATTGAACCCTAATCATGATAAAAAAAAAACAAACTTTTTTAGGGAAAAAAAAATTCAACTTCGCTCTTGAAGGTAAACATAAAGATTGAAAATCGATAACTTTTAAATTCAAAAACCTTAGATCAAAGATAATTAGTAACATTTTTTCTGAAATCGATAACTTTTAAATTCAAAAATCTTAGATCAAAGCAAATCAGGAACCTTTTTTACAAAATCGGTAACGTGTAAACGCAAAACCTTATATCAAAGCAAATCGGTAACCTTTGAATAAAAAAAGTTTAGATTTAAAAGTAAATTGGTAAGAAATATAACATAACCTATCTGAACGTGCATATGAAAATACTACTTGAGGGAAGATGTGCAACAAAAGAGACTTGATGCTTCTTTTGAGACACTGATCTTACATAAAATAGGAAAGATTGTAGCAAAGAAGACGTGCAGAGTGAAGAAAATGTGCAGAGCAAAGAAGACTTACAACAGACTAAGCAAAGGAGTATATGAAAGCATATGAAAGATTGAGAGAGTATTTGGGCTGAGAAGGAGTATTTGGGCTTACAGTGTTGTTGTGGCCCAAAAAAGTAGTTTATCTTTTTTTACAAATAGGTATGTTTTGTACAAAAAAAAAATTTGATTTTTTTTTTTAGAAAAATTGTGGTGGTGACACGTGTAGAAAGTTGTTATTTGTGTTACCTGGATTTGGATATAGTTATAGATATTATGTATTTGTGTTACCTGGATTTGTATATAATTATAAATATTATGTATTTAAAAAAGGAACTATTGGTGGGTATGTGATGGTGAAGCCAAGAACGGTGTTGGAAGGAAGTATTACTCCAGAGTGATAGTGCCAGTAGTGATGCTCCAATGTTATGGAAAATGGTCCAAAAATGGAATTTGGACCACCTCTTGAATGGACTTATAAACTGAGTGTACCTTTCAACTTTTCTGGACAGTCCATGATGCCTTAATGGTTGTATAACTAAAGTACCAGAAATACAACGCTCTCCACTTTTTTTCAAACTTAAACGTAAAGGATACAACATTTGTCAATCTAGACATATTTGCAATTCTAAATAGGTACCCTCTACAAATTCTCAAGACTCTAACAGCACAGTTTTTATTATCTTAGGACAAGGAAGGAACTACCATTATCGACAGGTACCACACGTCATCGGTTTAGACCAAGCAGTGATTTTCATTATTTTATTTTCTCTTTTTCATGCATAATTGTTATAAGATTTCATGCATTAATTTTGTTATAATAGTCACGAAATTAGAATTCTTGTTACATTACTAGATACTAGATGATAGTGTGCATATGTGCAACAGCGACGGCTTTATCCAGACCTTTATCTTTTATATTAACATGGGCCCGGAGGGAGGGAAGAAAACGTGAAATAAAGTCGGTTTTCAACTTATTAGCCTTCTTGAGAATTTGTCACAAGGGTTTGTGGACCTCTTACAAAAAAGCTGTCGAAATTATTTTCCACAGGACTTGACTTCATGGAAGTAACATTTTTTGGAACTAACAAGTGAAGTCCAGAAAAATGATCACCCCAAATATCATATGTATACTCATTTGCAAGTCCAGCCTCGCGTGAGTGCACAGCTGTTTGGTTGTGAAGTTGGGATCCAGGAGCTCGAGCATGTAAATTAACAGTAGATTTTGACCCCAAGGGAGACGGAAAAGTGCTAGCAGGAATGGGAAAAGAAGTACAAGGTATCTGAACAGGTAAACTGGTAACACTTCTTGAAGCTGAATGTGGCACTTGAGAAGACATACTATTACTGCATCTTTGTGTAAAAGCAGGCTTCAATATATTTGACTCAGCAGCAATGGCAGAAGCTTGATCGTTGGAAGAATGTTGGGCAGTCACCCGTGTCATTGAACTAAGAGCCTCAGGGGGTTGCTCTACATCCGGAGACAGTGGCCAGTTACATTTAGGTGTGGCAGAGGGGGTAGGGGATAAAGGTGACGATGGTGTAGAATTCCCACTTTGACTACTTGAAACTTCAGACAGTGTCGCTAATTTGGCACCGAGACTCTTTCTCTTTTTTCTTCTACCCTTTTCTTTACCAGTTTTAACTGTGAGATAACCCAACTGAGATGGTTTTGGATCAGGGCTCTGAACATCTGTGGATGACAACTTTCTTTCACTTTGAATATCCAAGGCATGGCTAGCCTGTACATGACTTTCAGAAGTCTGTATCAAATGCTGAGAAATTTCCAGTTTAGATGGATTCCCTTGAACATAGGAATATTTGCCACTAGAGGCCTCCATTAGATTACTCATCTTACTAGACATGGAGAGCTTACTTTTTCTCTGGTCATGATGTAACAAATTGGTTTTCCCAAGACCTTTTATGGTGGCATGGACCAAGTTATCATCACTCTTGCAAGAAAAATCCCAGAAGCCCAATACAGTGGTTTGAGGAAATACGAAAGAAAATATCAGAAATATTAAGGATGCAACAAGAATGAATCCAAGAAGAGATTTCTTCAGTCGCGTCCAATACATGGATCTCTTGCAGTTGCCTAGCATATCATAAGGGAAACTTGCTTTCATAGGTAACAGAAAAATACCAGTAGCCAAGACGAGTTCAAGATCTCGATGCACCACAGCTGCTGAAAAATCAGCTTGATGTGATATCAGAAGTTTAGTTGACTCCCCAGGGTCAAGAGTAAAACCCTTGCAAAATAGAATCTTAAAACCATCTAATTCACATTCTCTCCCAGAAACTCTGATACTTTTAACCTCTAATGGCAAGTCTCCAGTGTTTTTGGCATATAACTCTTTCACTAAATGTTGTGAACAGGCAGAAGTTATCTCTTTCATGTGAAGTAAGGTGTATGGAAGAGAAAAGTTGAGTGTCTTGGGCATTTTAAGATCAAAATCTACACTATCAACATGTTCAGACCTCTCAATCAACACTAGAGAATGCAACCCTCCATATCCCTTTAAAGGTATCCACTCAACACCTGAAAGATTGTTTCTTATCAATGCCGAACCACTCCATCCACATCGATCAGATGGATAAAAAATTATTGGCCCCAAAGTAACATGATCATGAGGTTGCACATAAGCCTCTGTTAGTGCATTCTCTGGTATTGAGAATCCATACTTTTTTGGAGTAGCACCTTCGTCAAGAACCAAATGACTAGATGAAGAAGGGTGCAATAAATCACCTAAACCCTTACATTGGTTAATTATTTCTCCTGAATTCAAGATAAGCTGTAACACAACAGGATGTTGACTGGGATTCTTTACAGTGATCCACCTAGAGACATAACTTCCAACCTGAATCATCGGAAATAACACCTCACGGTCTTCAAGCACAGACATGCCAACCATGGTTCCTTGAGACTTCCAGTTTGCAAGAACCAGTTCATCTGCATCTTCTGTCTCTAAAACCTTCAAATAACGTAGCAGAAAGACTTCACTTAATGGGTGTTTGAAATTGGAAATGAGTATAAATAATCAATAATGGGTTACAAGGCCTTGCTTAAATGAAATTTTCCATGCACACTTCTAGAAGAAATAAGGTATAAAAAGAATTGAACTACTTTCATGAGATAAAAATTAACTCATGCAAGTAACTTTAATAGATGTTCTCTCTATAACTTCTCTAAAAGCTAAAGTGCATCACACAGTTCATGGGGAGCTCAATTTATTTTTTTAAGTTCTTATTTTTCTCCGTGAATTATATATGGAAGAGTACTTTATTCAGCAATGTGTTAATAATTTAAAGAAAACCAAGTAAAATTGTTTCCAATAGTATCCGTTGGTGTAGATAATGACCAAAAATGCTTGTATACAGAAAATTATGGAGACAAACGGAAATAAAAGTAGTAATGAAGAAAAGAGAGTAAGGTAAGAATAGGTTAGCCAGAAATTTCAAACAATGGTAAAGAAGGCACCCTAGTATTTGAGACAACCAATTTCTGCATACTGTACAAGTTGATGACAGCCATATCCATTTATTTGTATGACAGGGTAATATAGATAAAATAAGATAAGCTTGTTTATGTTCTCAACTTTTTGTCATGCCTTAAAAGCAATTGATTGATTATATTGAAATTGTTTGAAACCTTTATCCTGGACCACCCTAGCCATTCTATTTCTCAACTCTCAAACCTGTCAAACTAAATTCTCCAGGACTGGAGGGACAGATCAAAAACAGAAAAAAAAAAACATTAAAAGATGTACATTATTAATGCAGACAATTTAAAATTCCCCAAGCAACAATGTAAGCATATAGCTGACAAGAATTGTCAAGTTCAGTATTTTATGCAATAAGATACCAGAAGAAAAACTAAAACTTAATCAAAGGAACATACTTCTAAGGCATTTAAAAAATACGCCCCTAGATTTAATTGAATACCCGATTCTTTAAAAATTTATTAATAAATAAATAATAGACAATATGCATTACTCAATAGTCTCAATTTTCAGTTGAAAGATAAACCGCTCGTCAACCTATGTGTTCAAACAGAATACAGACAGTAAGCGCTGAATCAAATTACCTTGAAATTTGGTCGCAACTGCATGCTTCTGCCCATATACCCTGTTCTCATATTTTCGGATTGGGTATCCTTGGACTTGCCTTCTACTTGGACAGATGAATGCCTTTTCCTTTGATGTTCAAAACAGATATATAATATGTCCTCACATGGAATCTCAATCAGGGGACTACTTGAATCATTAGTAAGAATCAGCAGTTTGCAGTTCTCTCGCATGCTGGATTTAGGTGCAAAGTCATGTAAATCCAATTGCAGGTGACTACAGTAAATAATGCCAACTTGAGTAACGGTACCAGGGAAAAGCAGTAAGCCTTCTTTGAACTTAATACGGAAAAGGTTTGTGTCAGAAACCTCTATGACCTTAACAAAACTTAAAGCATAAGGAGCATCATTTCTAAGAGAGATAGTGATAGCAATTTCACCACTATCACATGTGGCTAGACCCTCAAGAGTTGCTGAAATGAATATACCAACAGTATCCAAGGCAGAATCACTACCTACTTCAGCTTCAATAGGAACCATAATAATATCAGATGTGTCTTGTGAGGGCCTCAGTAAATGCAAACAAAATGCACCAAAAATTTTTCCCTCAAGTCCAACCATAATATCAATCTCCATGAGAGTTTCAGAGCCATGTGGAGCAATATTCCAATTCCTATGGGGTCTGACTGCTACAATTGGTGAACCAAATTGGCCACTATTCACAACCAACCGATCCTTAATAGTTGGGAAGAGCCAAGCATCAAAAACCTGAAAATCATTTATCCTACAAATTGCTTCAGTTTCAACAGATTTATGCTCCGAAGAAATTGATATCCTGGCAGTTATTTCCTCCACATAAAGGGTCTCATCAAAGGGGTTGAACAGTGAAAAATTCTTGCTCAACCTTCCACCAGGAGAAATTTGCACACCTGATAAGGGTTGGATTCCAAAAGGAGACTCGGTAGCATATCCTTTAGCTTCTACTATGAATCCACCAGAACTTGTCTGCAAAATCAGGCTACCTGATGACAAGCCCAGACTTTTAGGGAAGAAAACAAAACAAATTAAAGCTGATTCACCAGGTCTTAGTGAAATGTCACTGAAGTTACAAGCATAGAACTGTAAGTCTGTACTGAATGGCTCATAGAGGTTTAATATGCTATCATTGCATGTATTTGTCACAGTTAAAAAAGCTTCTGAAGAAGAATACAAGTATTTTTGTCCCCAGTCAAGTACAGTAGGGCCAATCCTTACATTAGGTGAGACAGAACCATCAAAAGAATTTGATTTGGAAACCTCTGAGTTCTTTGACCAAAATAGTGTCGTCTTTTGCTTAAGTGAAGAGCCTCCACAAGAAGAAATATCATCTTTACAACCAACCTCAGTTTGACGAGGTGGTACCTCATCCACTCCCTCTCTAGAGTTCAAAGAACACGAGACAACACCTCCATTAAGTAAACTAAACACACCATGTTCAGACGACCAGCTTCCATTACTTGTCTGCCTACCATCTTGAGGTAACTCTACACAAAACGGACCGTTGTATTGACTGCCAGATTCTCCTTGAGAAGCTTCTTTCCCGATTTTGTCTTTATGAGAAAACTCGGACAACATTGATGGAAAGCAGAAGGAATGCCTGTTCGGACAGACATTTCCAAAATTATGGGAAGATGAGAACCCATAGCCTAAACTAGAGTCACTAACAACGGTGTCCGAAGAACCCAAATCATAACTTTTCTCAAAAGGCGTACAACCATCATAATCTGGTGGATTTTGTATCCCATTCAAAGAGCACAGTCCATACCCAGCAAGCCAGAACAAGATGCACAACAGAACCACATAAGAAGTGAATATTTTGTGCAACAATCCCCTGGTTGAACCGCAAAAAACAGGTTAGAACATTTTTTTTTCTTTTCCATGATACATAAATTATGTGCAAACAACCAAGACAGATAATGCATTCAGTGCAAACACAAAACATAAACGCATGCGAATAAATTTAACCAATTGTAGCTACACCTTGCAGCATTGATTACAGATTCTTTACACGAGCTCCTGGTGTTTCACATTACACTGATATCAAACAATGCCCAAAAAAACAAACTTGTAAAGAAAGTAATATGAAGCAAAATCAGAATTCAGCCTCCGCAAGCTAGAAATAGAAAAGATAAGGATCCTTATCCGCACCTTTGCGCGAAAAAGTTTAAACAGTTATCACACCATGCTAGAGCCAATAATCTATTTGGCCAAAAATAAATAAACAAAAACGTAATAAACATTTAAAGATAACATTCTAAATCTAGCTTCCCCGAACCATTAACCCAATTAAAAAAAAACAAAAACAAAAACAAATATTAATAAATAAATAAAAACCCACATACACCACGTGCTCAACCTACAACAATCACAGTGCTTCCACTCAAAACTACAAAAAGGAAACATCTGTTCAAAGCAAATGCGAAGAAACGATAACGGATGACCAAAAATAGACCCAAATAGTAAAGAAAATGAATAAACAGAGAGAAGAAAGTGATGAAGTTGAAAATTGCAGAAAATGGAAAGCAAGTATACCGGAGGCGGAACATGGAGAGGGAGAGGGAAAAGGAGAGTGAGAGTGGGTTGATGATTAGGGTTTGAAGGTCCATGGAAGAGAAAGTGGTGGGGAACCCATTCGATACGACACCACGTTAGAGGGAATTTTTGGGATGTTCTTAGTGTCCACACAAACCCGATGCCTAGACAACTACTATATCAAAAAAATTTGCAGAAACAAACCCTGTTTCCAACCATTCTTTTATTTTTTAATTTTTTTTTTCAATTAATTTGGTAAATCAATTCAATTCTTATAAAGTTAAATTGAAATGCATTTCTAGGTAAAATCATTATTCATTAATGAAACTTCGAAAATTTAAATCTGTTAAACATGATGGAGTTATATAATTGAGAACTTTTCTAATTATATATATATATATATATATATATATATATATATATATATATATATATATTATTGATTTATCTGAATAGATAAAGAGTTTTGAGTCAGAACAAATATTTTTAAAGTAAAAATAAATAAATAATTCTTAAAAAAACAATATTCATAAGTACCTTTCTTTTTAGAGCATATTTATGAATAGTGTCCTATTATTTTATGTATAAGAATATCTATATATTATACAAATATTCTTTAAACTAACAAAAAGTTATTTTTATACTTTTCTGTCGTTCCATCATTAATTGGTTATCTAAGTATACAGTCATTTAATATATATATATATATATATATATATATATATATATATAATTTTTTAAAAATTTAAAATTGTCATAAATTTCTTTCAATTTTTTAAAATAAGAGAGGTTATTTTATTTTATTTTATTTTAAAAAATATATTTCATGATTGTAAAAGAACATAAATTAATTCTTATTTTTTTACTTTCTAAAAAGTAATACTTAGACTATTTAATATTATAATTTTCAAACGAAATCATTCTTTTTAAATCTTGAGCTTTGTTTCAATTATTCAAAACAAAAAAAGGTTATCTTGAACATTTTGTCTTAAATCTTTTTATTTCATTGAAAGTGAACATAAATTAATTTTTATTATTTTATTTCTAAAAGTAATCCCTCAACTATTTGATATTAGAGTTAACCTAAAAATTAAAAAAATTCACAATTTATTTCAATTTTTTAAAATAAAATTTATTTTTAATATTTTGTCCTATTATTTTTAATAAATATATTTTGTGTTAGAAAATGAACATAAATTAATTTATATTTTTAATTTCTAAAAACCAATCCATAGACCACAAATTAATTATTCAAAAATATCCACCAGTTTGTTTTAATTTTTTAAAATAAGAGGTTATTTTAAATACTTGTTATATAATTAGTTGCTCCTTTAAATAAATATATTCTATGATTATAGGAACATAAAATATTTTTTATTATTTAATTTCTAAAAAATAATCCCTACACTATTTAATATTATAATTTCAAATATAGTCATTTTTAAATGATCCACCATTATGTTTTTATTTTTCAAAATAAGATATTATTTTAAACATTTACCAACCATTATGATTTTGAAGAAATACAATTTGTTTTTATTTATAAAAAAAATCTCTAAAAAAGCTTAATATTATTATTTTCAAATCTAATCATTTAAAAAATCCATAAATTTTAAAATAAGAGATTATATATATTTTTTCATAAAATTTCGTACTTCCTTAATAATATATTTTACTATTCTAAAATAATACGAACCAATTATATATTTTAAAATTTAATTTATAATAGTAAATTATAATTCATTTAAATAAAATACTATGCATATATTTATGTTATTAACATATTTGGTGTTGTAAACTTCTGGTGTTAAAAAGGAAGAAAAACTGTTCTACAGAAAATTCAATAATTTATTTTTATTTTTTTAACATTTTGTCTATTAAATATACTGAACGTTACAAAAAATTACCAGGACATGATTATCATAGTTTGTAATGGAAATTTTCAAAATCTAAGGTGTGGTACTCACAAGGAATCAAACAGAAAATAGTAGTTGTAGTAATTAAATGAATTAATTAATGAACATACATCAGCATTTATTATTTTGTATATTGTATGATAACATGTCACTTGCACCATAAAGAACCTACAACAACATAACACATTGAAAATATTGGTCTTGGCATGAGTAAATTGTGCACAACACAAGTATTCAACAAAGCATAATTGAAGACTGTCATTATCCACTGCATCACGCTAACCCACCCTCTTCTATTTTTTTTTCTGTTGCAATTTGACAAATAAAATTAACATTATTTCTACTAAATTACTCTTTATCAAATAAACAAAGCTCAAGAAACAAACATGAAGAATTTATTTATATTTCATTTATTTTCTCCATTGTAGTCAGAAAAACCTTCTTTGTTAAGTAATGTCTTGGCGGCGCTGTCACTGTCCCAGCGATGTTCGTCACTTTTATGCAATCTGTTCCGTTGGATCACGACATTCACAGCATCCTTCACCGTTGGATTGCATTGGAAGCTCACCTGATACATTGATAGGAAACTGAGCCTTTTTAGATTGTGGTGTGTGAGTGACACGACACGTGGGCTAAAAACAAACTCTGAAAAATCTGAACAACTTTGGTGTTCACGAATTATGTGGTTTGTGTCGTGTTTACTTGGTTGTGTTTGCTTTAAGTTGGTGGTATTGGTTAACTATGTCATGCTATTAAAAAAAAAAAAAAGCATATTTCTAATAGATCAAATTTAAATTTCAATTTGTGTTTATATTATTTTTTAATCTAATTTTTATTTTAAAAATTTATACAATAAATAATTTTACCTAAATTCAAGTCTATATTAGGATGAAGAATTGTTGCATAAACCATGTATATATGATAATATATTAAAATATGCACATTTTATTTCAAGTTATATTTTTTTATGACTTTATAACAATCTTATAGTAAATTACCGTGCTAAATGGTCTACCATAACAATAACTCATTAGTTATTAACTAATATATCAAATTTGTTATCATAAATTATATTTCTTCATTATTTTTATAGAAATTTCATTAGTCACTATAGGCGTGATTTTGTAGGGATTGAATTTTGTTGTTCTTTCTTAGTCGCATTTATTCTCTCTTTTCAGTGCTACATCTTAGTCAATCAATTTTGATATTGTTATGTATTTTTCGAACAATACAAATATTTCATATTACATTACTTCCAACTAGAAAAAAATTGCATGTCTTTTTGTTCTTTTAAATTTAATTTTTGAAACTATATTTTAGTTCTTTAAATTTTCATAAATATGTTATCAACAATTTTGAAACAAAAATCATAATTGTTTGCAATATAGGTTTTCAAATAAAATTTATGGATTTTTTTTTTATTTCACATGATTTCAAAATTTATTTTTTTAAAACAAATATTAATTAAAAAAATGTGTGGTGACAAATAATAAATATAAAACACATATTCGACAACAGTTGTTTAAAGGAATTCTCCACAAAATAAAATAAATTATATTTTTTAACTATTGTTAAAATATGTCAAAATTATTTATTTTAAATATAAAGTTATATTAAAATAATAATTTTTTCTAAGAAATTTGTTAAACACTTAATAAAAATAATAAGATACTAATGGAGAGAGTGGGTGGTGTTCTTAGTAAAGGTATTAAAAATACGTGTTTGATAAAATTAAATTAAGCATAATTTTTAAAATTTTGAACTTAAGATTTTTATAAAGTTAAAAAATTATTAAACAATATGATTTTAACTTATTTTATTTACATAACTAATTTTAAATTATAAAAATTTATATAATTTAAAAAAATTATAATTTATATTTTAAAATGATTTAATTTTAATATTTTAAAACGTAACATGATTAATATTAACTTGTGGCAGTATTATAAATACAGATGCACATAAGATAATATATTAAATAGAATTATATAAATTAATATGAACAAAATAAATAGATTATTGTAATTATAAAAACATATAATTTTGTAAAATTAATATTATGAAATAAATATTTTTCTTTAAAAAAATATTTGAATAACAATATTTAATTAAATATTTGATTTACTATTATAATTAAATTGTACTTGTCAAAATAACTTATATTTTCTCCTTTTTTATTGTTTTCTATTTCTTTTAAAGACTGAATGATAAAGAATGCAAAAGGTAGAATTGCAATGCCTAATATCCTGTGTTTGGGTATAAAAATTACGGATGGCAAAGGTTCCCGTCCCGGCGCGTGGGCGTGGCCGAATGTCAGTTACATTCACAATGGAAGGTAGTAGTCTGTAATTTAAAAAAAATATATTTATTTATTTTAAATTAAAAATTTTAATAAATTTAATAATAAGATTATATATATATATATATATATTAAGTTAATAATATAAATTAACCTATATATATTAAGTTAATAATATAAATTAACCTATTTTTTTAAATAATTATAATTTAGAATAATAATAAAATTTATATAATAACAAATATTTTAAAATTTATATTGTTTATATTAAAAAAATTAAATATTTATAATGAAAGTTATATTATATTTTTTTATTGGATACAACTTCATATAATTTTTTCTATTAATTTTTATATTTTCAATTCAAATAATGAGAATAACAATAACCAATATATAAGATGAATAGATAAGAGATGATGAACAATAAGAATAACATGAGTGAGAAATTTATGTTTGAACAAGGAGAATGCTTTCTATAATAAGAAAATAAATTTTTTTAAATTATTTATGATTAACCGTATTACAATAAAAAATAATTTTTTATTAATTAAGTGGACAACAAACAACATTGTCCCGTCCAGTCCTACAGAGTTAGTCCGACGGAATGACAGGCTTGCGCAAGACGAGCTAATACGAATTGACAGGTTAAAAACACTAACCCGCCTCGTCATATCTATAACAACGTACCTATTGGTTGGATCTAAGTCATTCTATTATTCCTAATAAAAATATTTAATTAAACATATAGATGTATTTTAAAATTGATATTATAAAAATATTATTATATAAAGTTATTAATATATGAAGTATTTTTGTTAGTAATGTGATAAATAATTGAGATGAAATATTGAAAGATTCAATAAAATATATATTAAAATAAAAATAGAATTGATTAATTATAAATAATTAATTTGAATTTGTTTAGAAGAAAAATTGATATTATTAAACATAAGTCCAAACTCATAACTTTTTTGGTGTTCAAAAAGTTGTTTTTTCATGCAACTTTATTCTTTTTTTTCCTATATCTCATAATTAAATTAAATCATATTAAATAAGTGTTTATTTATGATTTTTTAAACTTTTAAATGTTTGTTTTTTAAATTTTACTAAAGCTTTTATTATTTATTCTCCTATTATTCTAAGAATTATAAAAATAAGATAAGAGTCTCAAAATATTTTTAATTTGTATCAATTTTTATACTTTACAGTACTCACACAATTAGATTTTTGGTTGGAAACATTTGAGAATACAGTTTTAAATCTTTATTTTCGAAGAACATGTTTAAAAAAAAAATCCCAAAAACATTTTAGAAAGTAAGTTTCATAATACATTTTTATAATTATTTTTTTAAAAATGTATTCCAGATGTGCGGGTTAGGAATATACTTCCAATTCTGAAATCTATTTTTTGGAGTATGTTTATAAAAAAAATTCAAATTATATTTTAGATTGATTTTTTTAAAAATGTATTGCAGATCACTCTGTCCGAAATATATTTTTGAATTGATTTTTCTATAACTCAATTTAATTTTCGTTGAACAATTTGAATCTCAATGTATAATATAAAAGATACGTAAAATTAACAACTACTCTCAACATATATAATAGCAAAAAAAAAAAAAATCTACAGATGAGGAATGAAGGTGCTGAAATTTCTCAGAAAAATAGAAGAAGCAACTAGAGTTTGAAACAAAATTTATTGAAAATGGGCCGTCCAAAAATGATCTCAAAATAGGCCGAAGCCCATTTCTTTCAAAATTTCAGTCCAAACATGTTCTATACTATACTGCAAAGAAACTCATTATTGGATATCTAAAAATATTATAAAAGTCAATTATCTTATTAATGGTTTATTAAAATATTTACCTAACAAGTAAAAATTGTCATTCCTCATTTGCTTGAAAAGTTTTCTAGAAAAAAAATCCTAATAATAAATTTTTATTTCAAAAACCAAAACTTACTGCTACTTTAGTTTATAAGTATTTGAATCTCGTACTCTAGTATAAATGTTTAGTTAAGATAAGTAATAAATTAGCATTTGTATTAATTTCTTATCGCAAACAACATGAAAAAAATGTTTTTTGTCTTTATGCTTTTTTAAAAGTTTGTCTCTTGATCCTTGTATTTTTTTTAATTTGTCGTTATGTTCTCTAATTTATCAAAAAATATAATTTAAATCATTTTTATATTTATAAATTTAATATTTAATTATTATTATTTTTCGCCTTAATAAAATTAATAAAAGAACTAAATTCGTTTTTAATAATTTTTATATTTAAAATTTATATTTAGGAACAATTTTCTATTGTTATAAATTGATAAAATCATTAAATTCATTTTTTTTAATTTTAAGATTAATTTATTAATTTTTAAAATATAAGTACGAAAACATATAGAACATAAAATATATCTATTCTATTATAGATATAACTTTACATTATAAAATAGTGACAATTTGTTATATATTTTTTTATATATAGAAACACAACAAAAACTTATTTATATTGTCTATGTGATTACATATTCAAGTACTGAAATCAACAGTAAAAACTTATTTTGGTTGTGTATCCAATTTCATATTCAAGTATTTATAATTAGAGATATATTGTAATTAATTTAAATTAAATTTAAAAATATTTATATCATCATTGATTTGATTACTTGAAAAAATTAAATATCTATAATTAATTACAAAACCTAAGCAAGTATTTATCATGTATTGTTAATACACAAACATTTTCATTTGTGAAAATATTTTATGGAAAAACATAACTTAAAAAACTTGTCTTTAATTAAGTTTATTTTTAAATTTGGAGTGGAAATGACAGTACCTGGTCAAGGCGAGGGTCCTGTTTCTGTCTTTAATTAAGTTTATAATATTTTTATTTATATTTTAAATATAATTTAAAATTTAAAATAAAAAAGTTTAGTTTGTCTTTTTAATTATAATATTTTTATAAAAACAGTTTATTCAAAAAGTTAATAAAATATTTTTTAAATTAAAATTTAAAAAATCTCTTCTTAAAATTTAAATTATATTAGAATTTAATATATAAAAATTGTATTTTGTAAAGTTCAAATTGTTTCATATCATAAATGAGAAGTTTAATTAAATTTTGTTTTAAAGAACTCTAAATCACTTCAAATGTGTTTTTGTTTTTTCAGATCCCTTACAGTATAATGGCATCATATTTAAAGTTCTTTGATAAATATTATATAACTAAATTAGATTTAATGGTCCTCAGAACAAAATTGGATTCAATTTACATTAGACATTTCATATAAGTAAGAGTTAGACCGAAAAATATTCATTACCTAGTTATTCTTGTGGGAATCATTTCAGTTTTTTTAAAAGGTTATAGATTAATTACTTTTGTAAGAAAAAAACTATATATTACTGACGCGAAAATAATCCGTGGATATTCTTTCATAGTTGTTTGAAATAATAATGAAATGAAAATCGATAAAGTATACAGACACAATTCAAGTTTCGATTCACAATGCATCATGTGTAGAAAACACTTTAATATGATTTGTAAACAAAATTATAGCCATCTAGGTCGTAGGAATTATGATGTAAGCATTTCCAGATTTTGGTTAAGATTTTAAAAGTTAAAGTATATTCTTTTAATAATTTATTGTGATTAGGGAGTTTCATCCTTTCATACTTTTGAAAGTCTAGATGCAAATTTACTAATTAATAACCAAACAAAATCTGGTAAAGTAATAAGCAATTAACATTAATAGTACCAACATCTTTGTTTAAATATACTATTAAGTTAATGAAGTGGTTGACATAAATAGTTCAACACTTGTAATCTTTAATAAAAGAATAATGTTGAAATTTTGGTTTGAAAGCAGTGGAAAAGTGATCAATCGAAAAGAAAATAATAAAAAATTGATATCTTTTTAAGAAAGAGAGTGCGTGTTTGTGTATCGTGTGGCTTTCTGAGAGAGTATTTATTTGATGAAAATCATATACCGAACATGACAGACAGCATGGTGCCACTTGCATCTTTGATAGGAGAAGCACGAGTGTTTGTTCCGTCTACAACCAAACCCTAAAAAAAAGAAAAGTGTTTAGAGAGGACAGCATTCTTTCGATTAAATCAGTGAATGTAATATTGTTGGTTGTTAGAAAGGAGTATCATTTGTGGGGTAAGATTCTACACGTGTTTGGTTTCAACCTAAACTTCCATAACTGCCATTAGTCTAATATGCACAAGAAGAAAAGTATCTAGCACTCACTTCTATTACAACCTAGGTTGAGCCCTCTCATTTCTCGTCCTCCTTTCATCAAATAACTATTTTTAAGACATTATTGGTTGAATGCATATGCTATGCTATATGTATTTCAATGACCAAGATATTAACACACCTAAGAGTGTTTGGGAAACTTATGTTGGATTAATCCACTACTTTGAAATATCTCACTGTCGTGTAATATTTTAAAACTTTCGTGTCTTTTAACTCTAACTTGAATATCTTATTTGAGTTCGCCTACCACGCCTTACTCATTTTTCCATTTTTTTTTCTTTTTTCCATCTTTCTTCTACCTAGTCTTCGTAATTTTAAAATTATTCAAATTTAACCTCACTCAAAATATCAATTATATTCTTATAATTATAATTATAGAAATGTAAGGAAGATGTGAATAATTGATTTATATAAATAATAAGAAGGGTGCGCAAAATATATTATTATATTTCTTGAATCATTTAATACATTTTCCATTGCAAATCTATACAAATAATTAGTATTATATATCACACGGTACATTTTAATTAATTGTTTAATTGAACTTTGAGTCCTTATTAATGTCATATCTATTATGCTTAAGGATATCATCTTATTGAGCATCTCTAATAAGAATTCATGATTGGAGACAATAAGCTTAAAGAATTCATGGTATTTTATATTTTAATAATTTTCAAAACAAATAACCATCAATCAGCTTAAAAATCACCATTCTTCAAATTGACTCACCACATGCAAGGAACTAAGTATATTATATTCTACTCTTAACGCGTCCTAAGCAGTAAACTACAGTGCTATTTCCAATTCAAGGGAGGGATTAAGGATGTATGTGATTTCAATCCATGGCAAAACTATTGCATACTGAAATTAATTTCCATTAATAATTAAAACCAGAGAAAAAGTGACACTGCAAACATGTTAGGAAGCCTGATGAAAAGGCCAAATATATATATTGAGATGAAAATTAGATAGAAACGAAGAAAAAACTACGTTTCCCATGCTGATCTAACCATTTTTTTTTCCTTCTCTGAATAACTGAGCTGCTGCATATTACTTAACATAAGCTTGTTATCAGCTATAAATAAAATGACACTTCACAGTATGCATGTGTTTAGGGCACCTGAATTCAGTGTAGTCAAAATGAATATTTACACTCATTCACAACACTTAATGTTGCTCCACATAGTACAATATATGCATGTTAACTTGACTACATGAAATCTGTGCCTTCCTCTTCCCAATTACTTAATTGTTGATGGAGTGACCAACACCAGGACTGTGACCAGGGGAAGTTGGTCTAAAATCTTTTTCCTCGAATTCTTCTCTCCCTTTTCTCCCTTGGTGTGCATCATCATCAATGGTGGCCATTCTTCCAGGATGACCACGAACATTGCTGAAGTTTTCACCATCTTTTAACCACCTTCTGTTCACCCGAGCCTTCAAGTGTCTCTTCCCTTGAACATAGAGATCATGGTGGTGTAAGATAAAAAACAAGAGGACAACACAAGCAATTCGGAGGTTCGTGTTTGCCATGAGAAATATATATATTTAATAAAAAGAAAATTATATATATGACTATACAAGAGAAATGGATAAGGGCATGCCTACTCCAACAGAGGGGAATAGGTAGGTATGTAGTTCGCTGATGCTGAAAGCTCTTGCATCTGCGTAGATATTTATATCAGTTTAAAACAAAAGTGTGAAATAATATGATAAATGTAATGAAAAGAGATAAAAGAGGGAGAGTTGGTTAATGGGCACAGATTCCATATGCTAAATAGACAATTATATTAAATACTAAAACAAGAAGTTTATTATCTACTAATTTAGAGAAAAATAGTATATGAGTAATGAAATTAATTTGATTTTTTTTTTAATTTTCGACCACAGCACGTGATGTCTTTCACTCCTGATCGTTGGGAAAGATTCCATGGAGACATCGTATGAACTAAAGCGGATGGCGTGCATTAACTGTTTAAGCCCAACCTCTCGAGTAAAATAAAGGTTGTAGTATCTTGTTTCCTTTGTCTGCTTATATTGTTCTTTCTGTCTCTCTATCAGATCATCATCTATATTTCGATCGTTTTTTTTTTTTTAATCTTGAGCTCAAAATAAATGTTTTTTTACTCCATTTTGATCATGCCTTGATTAGGGCTTAGTTTGCAAAGTCTTGCAAACCAGGTTTTGCGCCCAATTTTAAAAGTTCAAATTCTAATTTTTTTCTTTTATTTTTTTTTAGTAAAAAAGAATTATTATTATTATTGGTGGAAGGAGCATATAAATTATTTTTGTTGGTTGTAGCAGTGACCTTTTCCCATCGTACATCTGAAAGGTTGCTTCTGAACATTATGCTTTTCGGAAGGCCACTGTTGACACTGCTTTCGTCAGCATGCGCCATTCTTTCCATTTCGTATTTTTGCATGGGATTCGGTGTTCATTGCCCCCTCCATCCCTGCTTAATATTTTTTTTTTCTTAAATTAAATGCTCGTATATACTTTAAATATAAAAACAATATGTGGTGCGAGCTACCATTTATTTTGGTTTAATCAGAAACTGTTCCTCGTGTTTGTATAAAAAATTATACAAGAGGTTTCTCCAGGAGATTTTAATGTAATCATTGCTAAAAATAGTATTTTTAATAATGGTTGACCATCGTTATAGTATGTAGAAAATAAATCATTAGATAATCGTAGTTGTATGTGCTTTTTAATAAAAAAAATGTAGAATGTTATTCTAAAAATACATCTTGTCTTAATAAAAATAACAGTGATAATAGAAATTAAAGAGCACTTATATTAACCATAAGAGAACGAACATAATGAAAAGAAAAAAAGGTGCGACGATGTAATAAGAAGAACGATTAAAACAATATAGATAAAATAAAAAGAAAAGATAAGAGAGAAAAAGCAAAAATTGATGTTATATTATGTTGGTATGGCAGCAAAATGACGATGAGACAAAGGAAACGTACATGAATAACGAAGCGAGTGAGATATGTGAATGTTGTAGAGAAAATAAAAAAATAACACGTTAAAACAATTTAAATAGGATTGACGATAATGATTTCATGATAATTGTTGTGGTTACAAATGACAAGAACCATCATAAAAAATCCATTTTTATTAAAAAATGTTATCGCGTTGTTTTTAGCAGTTATCTTTTAATAATTATCATTAAAAAATAAATATATTTTATATTGATAGCACATAATATTTGTATCATGTTTAATTATATCAATAAAAAAGATTAATGTAAAAAATACTTATATCATATATATAATCATATTAGAATAATATTAAAAAATATCAATATCAAAATATTTATATAATAAAAATACAAAACCGATACACATGAATGTTTGACATTTATTTGTTCATACCTTAATTTCGTTTTTCCAATATCATGTATTAATTAATTCTTTTATTGACAAGTCTCATATATTTAATAATTTTTTATTGACAAATTATTACAGTATGTCATCTTGATCCTATCTCATACGTTTCTATTTAGTCAATACATTTAAAAAAATTCACCAATTTTGTAGTAAGAACAAGTACAGATCTTTCATTTTACAAATTAAGATAAAATTCTAACAAAATTCGTGTAAATTTAATCTCAAAATTAATTAGATTTTCCTCCAACGATTCTTCTAACTATGGGCACATGTGTGAATTGTGTTCTACTATAAAAGTGTAACTATTATTTTCATTCCTTTAGTTTCAGTCATTTTTAAATGTATGTATGAAGACATTAAATAAAATATTAAAAAACAATAAAATAAAGAGAAATTGAAGATATTTGTTGAGTGAAATAATTAAAATCTCATATTTAATACGTTGTAAGTTTGAAATTATATTTAGTATTTTCAAAATGAGATAAACGCGATTTTTTTTCAAGCATCCTTTGAATAAAAAAATTACACCTTTATGATATGACATCACCCCCTTAAATATTAAACAAACTAAAAAAACCGAATAACGACAAACAATACTACAACCGAAATCCTTAAATTCGTTTTGTTTAACATTTTCACACACACAAAAAAAGATAATTTTAACTATCACAAATAGTAAAAAGTATCTTTATGGTTGAATCTAATTTTTGATTGAGATCTCTATTGGGTTTAAAACATAAAGCGTGAATAATACGCACATAATTTGAGGTAACAAATAAATTTTGACTCCTGGACCACTTGAGTAAAGCCTGAAAATATTGGTAGTTCTAAATTTCACCCAGGAAAAGAAAAGAGACAGTTGATTAATTGTCAGCAAACCAACATATGATGACAGGACATGTCAACTCGATGTCTTTCATGTTAGTAATCTTTTTTTCATCACTTCATTTGAAATGTAGGTTAAGACATATTATGTAGACCCTCTCCTTTCTATACCTAAAATAATACTACTAAAATTCAAATATTAATATCACTTCATTAACATATGCTATACAATTGCACTTTGAAAGTTAGTATATAAAATTGAGATCTTGTAGGTTCATGACTTGATGAATCATATTAAATAATTATTATTTTTAGATAAAAAATAAATATTATAATTTATATTTTTAAATATTTTTTTTTTTAATTTTGGACAGTTTCACACCTATATATCTATATATTTCCCGACCAAATTTCCTCTTGATGAAATGGTTTACAAGCTAGTTCTGTGGCATATCCTTGTAGTGATCTAACCTAGGCAGATGAAACAAGATGATGAATCAGCTTATGCAAAATAATACACTTTTCTAATAAAAAACTTGCACAAAAAATTGTACAAAAAGGTTTATATGACAAATGGAGGCTGAAATGAAATGATTGATATGATGGAGAATGGGAAAGCAACTAATGTTATATTATATGAAATTATTATTAGAAAATCAATAAATATTTTTAATTTGATTCACTTACGTCGTTGATTAATTTCTATAACTGAATTAAGTAGTGGATTAGGTCATTGATGAAAATGACATATAGTACTCAAAATAAAGTTTAACCATTTATCTTTTATATATATTTGTGCATATATTCCTTTTTTAATCCTTGCATATAAAAATCCTACATTTTGTTCTCTATATAAGCAAATTTGTATTTATCTTTTGATTCTCATATATTAACAAAAACTGTGTTTTTAGTTTAGTTTAGTTTCTTAGAAATTTTATGTTTTAGTTCTCATGTATGGATATTTTTTTTCTTCTTTAGATCTTGCGGTCAAGTAAGTAACTTTGCCAAATTTAGGTATTTTGATATTTCCACAAAACTAAAATAGATAATGCAGAATTGTTTTTAAAATTTTGTCAAATTTTTAAACCACTATAGTTTATTAAATTAATTAAAGAGTAGTGACATACTGAAAAGTGCTTTTTCAACCAAACAACTATTTTATACTTCTATTTAATATTATAATAATCAGAAATTTTAATAGTCATTAAAATTTTATTTTTTTATTATTATAATATTGAAATCAGAGTTGTAGATTAAATGTTGAAGAAATAGAATTTTCAAATAGTTTTTTTCTTTAATTAAATTCATGAAAAAAAATAAAGATGTCTGCTGCCAAAAAGTTCTTTTGAGGGGATGCATCGTGTAACTATCATTGTTTTCAAAATTCCGGCAATTGAACAACCACCAGAAATTTTGAGGTAATTTTAATTACATCGTCAACTTCAATATTTTTAATCATGTTAACAAATCTACAGTTAAAAATAAATACTAATTAACAACTAATAACAAAAAATAATACATAAGTAAATATTTGTGTGTATCAGAAAATCAAAGAATTTTCAAATATAAGAACTAAAACACAAAGTTTTGACAACCATAAAAGATGAAATTTTGATTGCATTACTAAATAAAAATAAACATTGAAAAGATTTGGATTTGAATTTTTGAGTTTAAATATTTAAATATATAATAAAACTCATTAGTAATAAAAAAGTCCATACAATTGTTATAACTAAAAATCAATGCTTTCTAAAAAGAAAAAAAAAAAGGGAACTAACTAGCTAGCATTTGAAAAAGAGAGTAGGCCGGTGACTGGAACACTTAAAAATAATTGACTAGCTAATCAAACAATTAAGAGCTACAAAGTAGTAAGAATCAGTGCTTAATTGTAGATTTAAACTATTTGTTTTGCCTTTTAATATGTGCAAAATTCCATTTAACCAACAATATTTTTGAGAATTCAAAATCAATGCTAAGTTACAAATATTCACGTGTGAATTGTCATAATGTAACATCTTATTATTAATTTATGTAACAACATATATTATGGTACTTTTGTATTTAATTTTTAATTTTTGTTTCTTATAATTTTACATTATTCTTTATAGTACACAAGTATTATATATACTGATGAAAAATAGTTAGCATTAAATAAAAGTTAATCTATTATCATTTGCAGGCTTTATTAATTATACTAATTAACAAAATTATGCATCATAGGATTAGTAATAAAAAGAATCATTCTGCGCTAACAGTTTGATTTTCATTCAAAAATTTATTATATCATCTAATAAAATACTACGTAATTGGTCTGAATTATATTAGAGTACATCTAATATAGGGATTTTAGTCAATCTTAAATTTAAGACGTATTTTTTATTGTAAGAAATTTAATATGAAAATTTTAAGATCTGAAATTCATATATGATCGTGAATTTTAAAAAATATTTAATTATAATGATTAAATTACTTTCTAAAATAGTAAAATTTATAAAAGTGAATAAATTTATAAAAATGTAAGTCTTATAATACCTTATATATTATTTAAACGAAACCTACAAAGGTTGTTAAAAATAAAGTGACGTAATGAAATCTCGTAAAATGAGATAGTGTTATAAGACTGTGACATTATATATATTCAATAACTAATTTCGTTGACCTTTTTTTCTTTTTCTTTCGGTCCTTGAAAACTAATAAAATTTTCAGTCCTGTCATGCCATGCATGTGTGATATTGTTAGATTTTGCACTTAGCGTTAAAACTTTCGTGTATCAAAATCTCACTCATACCATTCTTAAGATCGATACCTAACTGTTCGATGAAATGGTTGGAGATATTTATCATGTTTTGCGCCTCCCATTTCTCCACTTCCCAACATTTCACCAAACCAAACTAAGTTCAGCATGGCACCTTTTATTGGAATAAAAGAGTCGTGGGTAATTATTCTAGATTATTAGGTTCCAACAAAATTTGTTCTCTCATCTTTTTCAACTAATGATTATGCACCAGAAGATTGAATTTGAGTATTTTTAAAGAGCAGAAACTATAAGTATCGTGCTAAGATGAAGTTTATTTGCTTAAAGCCAATAAATAAAAAGCTAGAGAAACGTAAAATTTTTGTAGAACATAATAAGAAACACATGTTATTATCAATTTGGATCTTCTCCCGTAGCTGCATGGAGAAATACAAATATTTTGTGAGTCCCACTTGGCAGAAAGCTTACTACAAACTGCATCAATACACGCATGCATAATAAGAACCTAAACTTAGAAGGTATATATGGATTGCTGCGACCACAGAATATCCCAAGCTAACACCAACATTCAAATGAAATAGCATTATAAGGATTGCAATATAGACGTTAGAACACTTTGTAATCAATTGCGTTTTCATGTAACTTATTCATTAGTTGTTGATAGAATGACCAACGCCAGGACTATGGCCGGGTGTTGTGGGTCGAAAAGCTTCAACATAGCCATTCAAACTCGCAGCGATACTCTCTGACTGGCTTGGCTCTGCAACAACACCTTTTGTGGTGCTAGGTGCAGTGCTCATTTTCTTCACGGCGGAGACAGATTTTGGTGCTGACTTAGTGGTTGTGGTTGCTTTCAAACCCCTTCCTTCTATGCAGAGTAGCTGATATGATAGGAACAATAGTACAAAAAACAAGCAAGTAGTGCGAGTGAAATGTGCCATGGCTAAACTCAAAGGTTCAAATGGGGAGGGTGAGAGAAGAAAGGACGAAGGCTAAAGAAGGATATGTTAGGGAGAAGAAGCTAAGGAGAAGTTGAAATATGAATGAACACTTCTTCAGTGGTACTTATTTATAGGCCATGAAAAGGGGAAGCATGTGCTCCAAACACTTAGGGAAGACTGAAAAAAAAAATGAAGAGCCAAGAATAAAACAAGGGAAGATTCCATTGCCATAGATATTCGTGACTTCAAGTGTGAAACAAAATAATAGTCTGCGGGGGAAAAGAATGAAAAAAAAAAAAATAACACCATAAAGTGATCAAACTTGGTAGTTGGGTGAAAGGAAAGGAGTTATGGCCACAAGTTTTTCTGCTTATGCAACTTTTACAGCTTTTAACGTTTAAAGCAAAGTTAAGAGCAAAAGATAATTAATTACACCATGGACGTTGCAAAGCTAAGATCAGAAATACTTCAAGTTAAGAATTCCAATTTCATTGCTTATTTTCTTTTCTCTACTGACAGGAAGAAGTGGAAGGGATTTTGTTACTATAAGGTTGATAACATGTTTAATGGAGAGAAAACATTTTAACAAAAAAAGCATATGTACGACCATTATTTGTGCTTACACTATAGTATGGCCAGATAATATATGAAGAATAATAAATATACACCATTCTTTACGTTGGCGTTTACTGTAAGTGATGAATTGCCTTGTGGTTCATACATTTCAAGATCAGAAGAAACATACGTATCTAGATACTAGAAGCTATAATCACCTACCAGCTAGATTTGGTTGTACAGTACATTTCGCAATCTGGACCCTTGAGGGTGAAATTCCAGCAAGTTTGCGTCTATCTGAATCAGTAGTGCATTTGTGATAAATTAAACACTATAGATGGATCAAAAATAGATATGTCTCTCCCTTTATAGGCACATATATATAGTTTGCTTTATGATTAACACTCTTTTTTAAGCAAAGTGTATCCCTCAAACTAATCTATAATATAAAATTTATTAAATATTAACTGATTTAAAAAAACTATAAATCGATTTAAGTTAAAAAAATATTTTACTTAAATTGGGCAATTTATGTTAATTTTCAAATTTAATTATCAAAGTTTTATACTAATTAAAAATTAGACTAAAATTTAAGTTTTAATTAGTAACTAAAATTAAAAACCAGTTTAAATTCTAACTAAGAGATCAATTTAATTAAAATAATTTCTAACTTAGTCAATATAATGATTAAATATTATTTTCTCTAAAACTAATATTTAACAATTTTTTTGTAATGACACACATAAGGGTTTATTTTTTTTATAGATAATTTTTAATGATATAAATTTAAAAATTGAATCCGTATTATTACATATTTAAGTGACAATGTTATGTGGGTCATGTTACACAACATCAATTGCTAATAATGTTTAATACAGTAAAAGAAAGATTCACATAAAAAATCTGACAGAAAATTTCTTTATGTAAATTGTACAGAGAAGATGTATTTGTATGTTCTGTATGGCCTGGTCTGTGTTTAAACTTGAAAGGGAAATAGAAAATGAGTATATGGACAGAAGAATCTGCGAAGGTTAAACATACAAACGCAAAGGAAGGTTTGTGATGCAAGTTGCAGAGTGTGTGTGGCAACCGCAACAATGGTGGTAAGAGCGTGAAGAGATCAGAAATGCACATGCATGGTGGGAAACTTCACCCTTGTGTTCTGCAAATTGTCGTGCTTTCGATTCCTTTTGTCCTTGGAAACATAGCCGCCGCCCTTTTTTACAGCTAGCAAATGGTGTTCTGTTGCTAAGAGCTAGGCAATAAATTAAGTTAACAGAACATCCTAAAAAAACAACAAAAAATAAAAAAGGTATCACAAAGAACAAATATTTAAACCAATCAATAAGGAATCTAGCTTACACCATAGGCTTCTAGGATCCAGTCTTTTCGAATTTGCGGCTGATCAATTTACCATAATACCCCCCATTCTTTCAATGCATCCAATGCTTTCTTGGATTTAAACATAAATAAAAAAAATACTTAATTTTACACCAATTATTTAATTTTTTACTATCAGTATTCAAAGATATAGTTTTTTCCTTTTTTACCAATATATTCAAAGATATAGTTTTTTCCTTTTTTACCAATATATTCAAAGATATTAGATAAAGTTAAAAAAAAACATTCTTTAAAAACTATAAGTGAATACATAGAAAAACTTAGACTAGCTTGTCTTTGACCAACTTAAATTCCTTAATATTCTTAGTATTTGTTAAAAAAAAAAGTTAACTAGAGGTACAAAATCAGAAGTATATACTTAAGAAATATTCGAGTAAATCTTTATACAAAAAGTATGAAATTATATATATATATATATATATATATATATATATATATATATATATAATATGCCATCTCTTGAAATCTATATGTTGAATAATAATCTTTTGAATTTTTTTTTTATTGAGGAGACGTTAATAGTATTGAATGTGAACACAACAAAAAGTTGAGATAAATATGTGAATAACAATATGTTTATATAGGTTATTATGGACTTATTCTTTAATGAGTAATATAATTTTTTGTTATCATTTTAGATTATGTATATTATATGTTGTTATTAATGAGTGTATACTAATAATAAGTGACATATATAAACTAAGCTTATATGCTATAGTTTGAATTTCGGATAACAATTTAAAGGGGAAAATATTAGGAAGGTTTTACTAATCAACAAATTAACCACACAAAAGAACCAGTATATTTAACGAAAAACCTTAAAAGACATATTTTCTAATATATTTATTACTTAAATTATCTATTTTATTTATAACATTAAACTTCAACTCATTTAAATTTTAATTCATTTAATATTGTTAAAAACGAGGTGCTTAGCTATCAAAATCAATAACTACTAACATATAAACATCATCTTTTTAATACTTACAACTGAATAATTAAATTTTAAAATAGATAATACTTTGAATATGATGCATCATAATAATACAATCTTAACAAAATTTAAAATTAGAACATTAATATATGAGAACAGTAAAAGTATTTTTATATCAATTTTATCCCTTAGTTTTTAATTTGGGTTGTATTAATTGATTGGTTCTCAACCAATACTTTCCCTTCTTTAAATATACTGATATTTTTTTCAAAAAGACTATATCCACTTTAATCTCCTCATCGTACCAAAATTAGGAAAATATCGTTTGAGAAATGAAAATACATTTAATTCCTTCACCAAAATCTTGAATGTTTACATTTCTATTAGTTTCTCTGACGTTTTTCAATGGCCCACTCAAAAAATCATTTTAATTAATTAACATTTTATAGCAGACAAGAAAATTATATATTTCCGACATATTGTTATTGACGGATTTGTAGTCGTTTAAAAATGAGTGCTGACGAAAATTACCGAGAGATATAAAATATTTGTGAAATTTGATCTTACCTGACAGATATATTCATCGGTAAAATAATAATTACTAATCGATGGATATATCCGTTGGTAAATTAACAATTAATTACCAACAGATATATCCGTTGGTAAATTCATCACAATTATTTACCGACGGATATTTTCATCGGTAAATTAACAATTAGTTACCAACGGATATATCCGTCGATAAATTCGTTGATAAATTAACAATTATTTACCAACGGATATTTCAGATCAAGTAAATTCATCGACAAATTAACAATTAATTACTGACGGATATATCCGTCGGTAAAATTATATAATAATTACTTAATATATTCTAATAAATTAATTATTCACCTAATTAAAAAATTATTTTTTATTTAATAATTTAATTTAATCATAATTAGATTAATTTATAATAATTTATTAAATTAAATAATTTTAAAAAATAAATATTTAATTATATATAAATATATTAAAATATATAAATATATCAAAATATATAAATATATTTGTATTTATATATTTACATGAATATATATTTATTTGTATATAAATATAATTTATTTATAAATTATTATTAAAAAAATTTAGTAGCTTAGTAGTTGAAGTATCAACCTCCAAATTTAGTGAGAAATAAATAATAAAAATATTACTAATAAAATTTTGCCAGTCGATAATTTCGTAAAATATTTAACGACAAATTTATCGGTAGATAATATTTATTAATGTGCTTCTTATTTCCAGCAAAAGACGAGTACTAGAGAAATACACGCAGGGTTGTTTGCATATTTTTTAGCAAGAAGTTAAATTTAAAACATTATAACACTTCTCAAATTATAGATGGAGGGAGACTTTAGTTTTTTAACTTATCTTTTATTAACAAATTTTATCACCCTTTTACTCTCATTCAAGCTTCCTTGCAGTCATGTAATAAACAGAGAATTAATTATAAATCAAAACTAAGAAAGTTAGTCATCATATGAGAGAACCATTAATTCATAAGAACAACTTCATCCTTTTTATTTTGCTTTTTACATCGGACAAACATAGAAGCCAGATGCAGCATGCATGGTCTGGTGCAAGACGCTCCTAATGCAGAACGAAATAAACTAAGGAAATCGTTATTTTACACATAAAGCTATAGCAAATAATTGATTATTTGCATAATTAACTTATAATTAAGTTTCACAGTGGATAAGCAACACACACAATTATTAATGAAGTGCAAACCTTACTAATTAGTTTACATGCTAACTTTTGTTTTAACGATGGCCAACACCAGGGCTATGACCTGGGTTTGTGGGTCTGAAGTCTTTTTCTTCGGCCATAGGAACATTAACATGTGGACTATGAAGTAATACCCCATTCACTTTCACATCTTTATCATCTTCTGCGTCAATTTTATTGTGACCAACACCAGGACTGTGTCCTGGTGTAGTGGGTTGAAAGGAATCTGCATAGCCCACACCTGAACCTCCAGAATCAGCATCAGCAAATTCGTATTTCTGCACAATTGGTGCCTCAGTTGCTTTAAGTTGATCTTCTGAAGGAGTATGAACAACATTATTAATGGTGGCTCTGAGTGGAGCCAGGGTAGGGTTTGCGTTTAGTGAAGAATGTTGGTTCAGTGGTTTTATGTGCCTTCCATGAACGAAAAGAGAACCATGGCAGGCAACTATTGCGAGAAAAATGGTGAAATATTTGTGCATGCTCTGAAACTCAGGCATGTTAAGAAGTTTAGAGAGAAGGAAGCAGTAATTGAGGAGCTCTTTAGCGAGGCTAATGCGAATGGAAATGTATGATGACAAGTTCATGAATCTTGGGGGTATTTATAGTGTTTTGGAGGTAAATGCATGAGCACAGTTAATTATATTATTGCTTGGTCAAACATTACTGTAGAATTGGTGTATATGAACACAAAAATGTCTGCTTTGATACTTTTTCTAAAGTATCAAAGTATCATTTTCCTTTTCTAAAAGTCACGCCATCCAATTTTGTAATCAATCCAATATATATCCTATAGGTTCCATTATTTATTTTTTAAATATTCATATTAAATATAACAATTTTACATTTTTAATTTAAGATTTAAAAAACTTACAAAAATTTCCTACCAAACGAGTCTCATTAATACTTGCATTTCATTAACTTACTCGTTTCTGGTGGAATTTCGATCGATTTCGATTCTAAGGGTATTTTGGTCTTTAATCGAAATCCTCCCACGTAAGCTTTTTTTACTTAGGCTAGCAATTTGATTTTCAATCGAAAACGTGTATGAGAATCGAAAATCACCGGATATCGAAAATGCTGTTTTTGGTATTTTGTGTTTAAAGTATCGAAAGCAGTAAAAATATCGAATTAAGAAAAAATGTTAAATTGCAGGAAAATATAAAGTGCGAAAACCCCAAATTTGCATCAATTGTAAATGACGAGGAATTGAAAATAGTGCAAATATAAATGGCAGGAAATCGAGATTTGCAGAATATTAAATAACATGGAAACTTAAATGCATAAACTTAAATTTTCATTGAATTGAAATGGACAAGGAATCGAAAATACAGAAACATAAAACTGCTGAATTTAAGTTGCATCAAAATAAATTACCAAGGAAAATACAGAAAGCGGTAAATGTACTCAGTGAGCAAGGAAATCCAGATTGCCAGAAGCTTCATGGTGTTCGTCGTTTCTCCAGTAGACTTTTCACTACTGATTCTGTTCTCTGCCAATTTCTGCTCCCCTGTTCCTTCCTCCTTTGCTCTATTTATAGGGCATCCTTCAAGCCTTCCAAGAGCAGTTAACACGACTGCTACCACGTTCTACGTGCGTATGACAGTTTATCTTCTATAGTTTCCCACGTTCTCACGATCTCCGACTTTTCCCATGATTTCAAAACTGCTCTTTATACGTGCATTCGACTTACTTCCTTTCACGATTTGGCCAAAGTCTCGATGTCCACCTTGGCTTTCTTTACTCTCGATTCTGTATTTTTCGAGAACTTCAAATTGCTTACGATTCCTTTTTAACCCTGGTCTTATATGACTTAGTTTTTATTCGACAACAGTCATTTGATTATTATTCATTCGATTCTCGATTGTGCTTCTCGATGCTATATGATACGTATTTCTAATTAGACATTGAATGAATTTTTGTTTATCTTATCGAGTCACATTTCTTTCCTTCGATTTCGATCGTTTTTCTTGATTTGCCACTAACAAAATGCCCCCTTGGAAGAATATAAATGATTTCTGTTTTATATTCTTTCAATATTCCCGCCTTAGTGTTTGAAAGCCCACAGGATTTAGGGTTTAGGGTTTCTGGGGTTCTAGGGTTAAAAGGGGTTTTAGGTTTCTTTTCCACTTTACGTCGCCGTCTCATCAGTCTGTTGCCTTTCAATACAAGTTACATTAATTACCTTTCCCTTCCGTCGCTTCCAACTCCCTAGACGATCTTTAACCTTTCCTTGGTCTTTACTCTGGTCTTTACGCGAACTATCACCCTTTTTGCAATCTCATCTTCTCCTTTGAGCTCCTGCCTTCGTCCCTGTTACCTTATCCGTTAACTCTTCCCTTTTTGTTTTCCTAAGCTCACTACAATGGACACTTCATCCAAGTCCTCTGATTTCTCGACTCCCCCTCTTACCTCATCCGCTACTACCTTGCTGGAGATTAACAACCAGCAGTTTGCTCCCCTGCCTCTGATGGAGGAAGCTTCCAAAAAGATTGCTGAAACGCAGGTATTAGTTCCTTATACTGTTGAGGGGGTTGGTTTTGCTTTTGGGGGCCCCATTCTTTCTGGTAGTGGAACTGTTTCTCCCCTCACCCTCTCAAACAGCCCTGCTCTTGTACATCAGCCTGAAGTTAGAATCGATTTTCTGAACCTTGTTTCTAAGGTGTATCGGACAGACCCTCCCTCCAAAAAACCTTTGTTCACTAGATGGTTTGATAGGGTCAAGGCTAAATTCGGGAACCATTGGAGGAACGTGGGAATTTTCGATTTTTTACACTTGTCTCAATGTGACTTGTCCTACTTAGACATGGCTATGTTTTTGGCTGCCGTGCATTTGTGGAATAAGGAAATACATGCGTTGGAATTACCTTGCGGCCCTCTCTCACCTACTCTCTTCGATGTCGCAGCCATCACTGGGTTAAAACCTATAGGGGAGAGATACTTTCAGGGTGCATATCTCTCGGATAATTCGCTGAAGTCCAAAATTGATTGGGAATCGAAGGCCTACGGGCATTTTATTGAGAAACATTTTGTTGATGATCCCTCGATAGCTGTTACTGATGAAGAACATGTAGCATTTTTGGTGTATTGGCTGTGCACCCATGTATTTTGCCCCCGATCGATCCAAATTTCCCCCCATCTATTCAACCTTGCGTATCTCCTTCACTTAGGTCAACCTAGCCTATGTTTGGCCAAATTTTTGTTAGCGCATGTATATACTGCTTTTGACGAGGCTGTCGAAATTTTGAGTACTCCTAAAGCATCGGGGAATTTTTCTGGCCCCGTTTGGTTTATACAGTTATGGTTAACTTCAATTTTTGAGAGCGTTCCTCGATTTTCTACTGTTCCCCCGAGTGTAAATATAGAAGGGGCCCGATTATCTTCTCGCCATCCTCGCCATAAGTCTGACGAAACTACTTATTGTAAATACCTTCACTTTTTGCTAACTAGATTCGATTTCGATTCAACCTTGGCCCCTTTTACTGTAAATCTTGGACGAACAAGTGGCCAACTTAGGGGGCCTATTTGGTTTAAGTCAAAGTTTCCTGCTTCAACTCCTGGGTTGCAATTAGAATTGGTCGATATATGGAGTAACTACTTAACCCAGGATATACTAGTATCGGGCTTTCACCCCAAGGATTTCAAGTTTACTACTTACTACCCTCAACTTTTTTCAAGACAGTTTGGCCTGAGCCAGTCTTTACCCTTTTTTCCTTTAAATACCTTCCCCAAATCCAAATTGACTGAATCGAACATTGGCCGAGAGCTTGCCAAATTTTTGCCAAGAACCTCGATGCATCTTTACCCATATGTATTTGAATCGAATTACTTATCGACTGTGGAATTTTCTCAATGGTGGACCAATTGGTTTTCGAGTAATCGTGCTATTTTTGACGAGGTTCGACAGAAACTGACTGCTCATCCTTCTCTTGTGTTGCAGAAAAAATCGAAGGCGAAGAAAGGTAAACACTCCCACTATCTCCAAATAACTCGATTCGAACATTTTTATCAAATATGTTACAACCCACTGAGATTAGAATCTACCTTTTATGACGCTGTCATTTCCCTTTCTCACAAGATCACCACTAATCGAACAGATCACAAAATAATCAATCCCTTAGGAAAGACCCTTTTTGAAATGTACTGTCTCAATCGCCTTCCTACTTTTCCTAATGCTCCCTTTGGAGTTGCCAAACCTTTAACACACCCTAAATGGGTTCGAGAACTGAGAACTTCGAAAGAAACATTACGTCCCAAACCCAAAAACAAAGACATTACTGTATCGAGACTATTTTATTTCCCTTACCTTAACCTCCCTGAAGCTCTCCTGCCTCCTTGGCTAGTACATATCGATCGAGTCAAAATTTTGACTCCATCACCTTTTGGTGAGGCTTTACTGTTTTTTCCATGTTTTTTAACTCTTTACGTTAGCAACTAATTATCTTCTATTCTCGACAGTTTCAAAGTCTTCCAAAGTCACCATTGCCGAGAAGGAGAAAGACTGGGATTCTTCTGATGAGTCTGATCCAACGGCCCTTATCCGGAAGCGCAAACAATCGGCCACCACTACCTCCTCTTCGAAAAAATTGAAGGTTCTTTTCGATTTCTCATTGTCTCACATTTTTGTCAATGGTTGATTTACTTAGGATTCCTATATATAATTCTTTTTACTTTCAACTTTTCAGAAAAAATCAAAGAGTTCTCGATCCGTCCGACTACCTACTCTCGATCCTTTGTCGACGGACTCTAACACAGTCCCTACCACGGACCAAACTACTCCCGCCACTCAATCGAGCCATGTGAGTCCCTTTTTTACATAACCTTCATGTCTTAGATTTTGATAAGACTTGTATCATGACTCACATTTTCGATGAATTTTTTAGGATAATCCATCGGTGACTATATCGACAACTGTCGAAACTCAGCTTCAGCCTTAAACACCGATCCCTAAGGTATAGTTCTTTTTTTTACTTGTGTATGTGTCTCTTTGTATGTCTATATTTCCTTCTCTAATCAAGCGTTTCGATTCTGACAAGGTCGAGGCTGTACTGAGACTCTCCCACCTATCTCAATGCCGCTTGCTCTTCCTCCACACTGGTATTTTCCCTTTATGCTTTCATCATTGGATTCTTCATTTCTTCCTTTATTTAACTCTCGACTTATCTTTTCAACTTGTTTTTTTTTTTAGTAATTATTCCCACGGTTCAAATCCCGAGACTCCCCATCTCCCACTACCACGGAACAAATGGGTTCTCACCCATTTTCGATGCCAATGGTCGAGCTAATCTCGCCAACTTTGCCTATGCTTGACCGGGCCCACTTCAAGCGGCGTGCGAGAATATCGAGCTGCTATCGAGGAAGATCCATTCGCGATCCTCGATATTCGGTATCGAGCGGCGCCACTTCTTCCGGCCGGTCTTCTCAACCACCGCCCCTCGGTCGAAGGAGCTTATCGGCTCAAGCATCGCTTCCGGACCTTCTTCTACTCTTCACCTCTCGGAGGTCCTAGTGGAGTCTTTTGAACGGAAACGACTTTTCAAGGAGATCTTGACCTCCATCGAGTCTTTCCCGAAGGAATGCTTCCCAA